AAATGGAGGTACTGGTTTTGATTCAGAACAGTCAGAGAACGGTAAATATTCATCATGCTCAAAAACTGCAAACTTTGAAGGCGGCGGTTTATTTGTCCGTCAGGCACAAGATCAACTCCCTAGCGCAGCCGAACAGCAGGATGAAACAAGCATGCTGCTGCTCTGTAAAAACTGGGGAGACAACAGTCCCATAAACGGCGTTCCTAATATCGCACGCTCGACATCCAGTGTGGGTAAAGTGACCTGGACTTTACTGCTTTTAATGTGCTTTGGTAAGTTTGTCGAATAGATATATTTTACATCGTTTACTTTTCCTAAATGTATCTGCTTTTCTTATCTTAAGTTTTTAGTTATAACAATTTCTTAGGTGGTATGCTAACTTTGTTTTCTGGATAAAGATGTATTTTATGAAATTAATTAAGTTGAAACTTGAAAACGGATGAAAATACGGGAGTCTTAAAACATCTGTTGGAACTGATATCAAACATTTGTCTTCACGTGTTATTTAAACCTATTCCAAGGATTGCCACGTTAAGTATATCGTGTTACCCCACAGGATTTTTCCCCACATCAAAAACAAATCGATGTGTCATGAACCTTTTCATACATATGGATTGAATGTCCTAAACTTATTCAATTTTAGTACGCTTAATTTAAGCATGGGATCGAAATAGGACGTTAGTTTTTGACTTACTTAGCGACTTTAGCAATATGTAAAACTTAATCATTCAAACATTCAAATAAAAAAGGGACAAAACGTCGGATGCAAGGCAGGGATAGGTCGAGCAAGTCGAGAAATAATTCGTGGCAGAAGAAACATTTCTCCTACAAAATCATCCTGGATGGTTAATCTCGTGTAGAATACCTTTAATAATAATAATAATAAAAAAACACTTCTTTAAAACCGCGCTACACATGCGTCTCAGCGCTGTTTACATAAAAATATAAACTCCACAGATAAATTAAAGCCACTATAGACTAAAAAACAGGATACTTAAAAATTTTAAAAACTAAAAAGATGCTATAAATTAAAGTATTCTTTAAATAAAAAAGTTTTTAAATTCTTCTTAAAACAGTAATATGAGTCATCCAGAGACACATTAGATCTTGTGATAAAATTAGACCATAAAATCGGTGCACAAATCTTGAAACTTCTGTGTCCATATGTCTTAAGAGTCTTTTTAGTGTCTTTTCGCTTAAGTTGAAGTTGTCCACTAGATCGAAGTGACCTGATAGGAGTTAAAAGTTCTGTGGTAGAGTTTAAGTAAAATGGACAGTCGCCCTTTAAAATCTTAAAAGTCAAAAGTAATATTTTAAAAACTATTCGTTGAGACACGGGTAGCCAGTGGAGGTTTCGCAGAATTGGTGTGATGTGGTCGGACTTCTGAGCTTTACAGAGGAGACGAGCAGCAGAGTTCTGAATTGATTGTAGCTTTTCCATTTGATAGTTAGGTATTCCAAACAATAGGCTATTGCAATAATCCAGTCTAGAGGTTACAAATGCATGGATGAGTAATTCAGTTTGCTTGGTGTTAATAAGGTGAAAGATCTTGGATATCCGTTGGAGACTAAAATATGCTGTTTTACATACTTTGTTAATGTGTGATGTCATTTCACATTTGTTATTAAAAATAACACCCAAGTTCCTTACTTCTGTTGTTGGTTTTATAAAAGAATCCCCAACTCTAATACTATCAAGTGCAGTATTGTCTTTAGAAAACTTAGAGTTGAAATGGACTAATTCAGTTTTTTCATCATTAAAAACTAAGTAGTTGGACTTGAGCCAAGATCTAAGTTCATTCACACAAGCCTCAATAGTTGCTTTTTCATCACAAGGATTTTCACATATAACATATATCTGGGAATCATCTGCATACAACATCAAATTGAAACCAAACTGAGCAACTATATCCTCAATTGGTGAGGTGTAGAGTGTAAACAGTATAGGACCAAGCACGGAGCCTTGTGGCACACCATAAAGTAATTTGCTTAATTTTGAAATAGAAGAGCCTATGCGTACATGTTGCTCGCGTCCAGTTAGATAAGACCAAAACCAGGAGAGAGCTGTCCCAGTTATCCCAAAACGGTGTGCAAGTCGTTGGAGCAATATGTCGTGATCGAGAGTATCGAAAGCTGCTGATAGATCAAGAAGAATCAATATCACATGTTTCTGATCATTCAGGGCTTGGAGAATGTCATTCTGCACCTTAAGAAGGGCTGTTTCTGTACTGTGGTTTGGTCTATATGCAGACTGGCATTTTGCATATAAGGAAAAACTGCTCAAATAGTCATTTAATTGGCTTGCAACAATACGTTCCAGGAGTTTGGAAAGAAATGACAGATTCGAGATTGGTCGATAGTTTTTTAGGACATTAGAATTAAGGTCTGCCTTCTTTATCAGTGGTCTTATCACTGCCTTCTTAAAGCACAGAGGGACTTTTGATATTCAAGTGATGACTTTGTTATGAAAATTTTTACAATTTTATTTTGATCATCACCACAGCTCACAATCTATCTGTGTGTGTGTGTGTGTGTGTGTGCAACATTTGGTCTTATAAAAAATTTACACCAGATTACAAGCTTAAGCTCTATTACCGAGCCTAACATCACTTTCACTCCTCAATTCTTGTTGAAGCAATGTGATAAAGAAACTTTTTATAAACATAAGCCTAATTACCCATTGAAAACATTTATGTGAACTGAATCGATAATGGACTTTTGAAACTGAATTTTTTCTTGTCTTTTCCTTATTGTTGTTCATAAACCCAAATAAAAACAATGGATATCGGTATCTCTTCATTCCCCCCTGTCCTGACAACTACTTAATTCATTACATTCACTTTGACTAATACACTCCACTGTTACCGGGAACCTCTCTTCAAGACAGTTATACAGATGAAAAAACAGAGATATGTAACTGCACTGTTAGACAATAATGTGTCCTAACGCAGTCTCTTGTTATCAGTGTTTCTGGGGTTTTACCTTAGGCACTACGTAAGCACGGTATCTTAAGTAGTATAGCACACTGTTAGCCAGGATAGTATTCAATTTACCTTCTCCGTTACCAATAACATTGCTTTAAAAACTTTTTTCTATTATGGCAACTTTAACGTAAACCTATAACACGCTTGCTATCAAAGTAAAGCTAGTGTGACGTCTGTTAATCATTGCGACATCCGGGTTCTATTTCCAAGAATCTAATTGGCCAGAATGAAGAAAGGTTGATTGGGCATTTAGACTTCGTTTGCACTTCCTATCAACAGGAGTAACTGTTACAACGTACAAGGCAAATCACGGTTATAAGAGATAGGCAAACACAGGCCCATTCAAAGCGAAATGCGCTTACTTAACTTGGCCTTTGAAGTAATTGTGTCAAATAATTTTCAAATAATACCCGAACCCAACGCAGTTTCTCGGTTTAAAGACCCAATGCAACCTAGTCTATTCTGTTACGTCGCATGGGCTTCTTAGCAATAACATTGTATAGTTAACTAATAAGTATAACTAAGGTATAGTTTTCTACAAACACACTGGTAGAAAAGCATATGGCACTACAATTACAAATAAAGGAATAATTGAAAATCATAAAGAGAAGGTAGAGGTGGATATTCATCACAATGTCCTTACAGGTTTTCACAAATCGATTAATATCGACCAATATCATTAATGGTCATTTCAACGTATTGGCTAAAATTCCAGGCACAGAGGATTAACGCTTTACTTGGTTGGAAGTAAACTAAACAGGAAGCATCGAAAATGATCATGAATTGTAGTGCTAGCATAATGCTTCCCTGTCAACGTGATACAGATCGAACACATGCACTTAACAAGGGTCGATGTTACCATCATGTGGGTCTCACGTGCATACTGTGCTGGTTTATTTGAGTTGGTAAAGAGGGGTTGGGGGTGGTGGGGGGAAGCTTATGGAATGGATTTTGATCGAGTTTTTTTCTACACTTTTTCCGTATGGATCAATGTCAACTTCACCTTCATGCTGTATCAAAACGCGTTTTCCAGATCATCCGAAGATTTCAGGTGATGCACTTAAAGAACAAAATTGAATACCACATCCCGCTGTTGTGATCAAAACTCTCAACCTTTTTTCAGCTAACTTATTCATACATGACACATTTCATTTACCTTACGGTTATGGGTGACAAAACATGATCTAAAATAGTTCGACTCTTTGCCATTAATCATTAATTTGAATTCCAGTTAATCCCAGTCTTCTGTAATTGCATATATTTCGTTCTTTTGTTCTGATTTTTGTCCTATTTTTGTTTCTGATGAAAAAATACAATATGGCAGTGGCAGTAATCAGAATATTTATCAAAAATATACATCCTGTACATTTTAAACCTTTACTAGTATGAATATTTTCTTTAATGTTTGTTGCCATTGATAGACCAGTTTTATGCCAAAAGACTCGGCGGTCTTTTCTTTACTACAGTAAATATCATCAATGTAAGCATAATGTCTCTTCAGAAAGAGTCTTCTCTAGCAAAATAATGTTTTACATTTTTTAGTACTATATTTTTGATAATTTGAGTGCTTTGCAAAATGAAAATTTACATTTCATTGGTAAACAATTTTTGTATATTTAATTGACTAAATTATTCTTTATCTCTTGTCTTCTCTTATCTCTTAACAGTTATATTTCAATAATTACAATCGAATATTGACGGTTCACACATCATTGATTTATAAAAAAACAATAAATGGCGCCGATTATCCTCTGAAGTTTTTTATATTGAATTTTCTTCTGGAATCTTTCTAATCCAGGTGAGAAACTGGCACGGCACAATTTCAGCTGTTGTTATTACCATTCACAACAGTTCAACACAAAGGTTGTGTTTGAAAACTGCTATTGACTACGGGTTTGAGATTGGATACTTGAATTTACACCGCGGCGTAATCGTCAATTATGGATTACCCACTTCCGATTCTTTATAAATGGGCTACAGACATCAGCATTTAGCTAATTGACGTTGGTCCGACGACTTGACTAGGTAGCCTAAAAGTCCATCATATATCAGCCTCGTATAGTAACCGATTATTCAAGTTGGCGCAAGATGAGTACGGGGGCGCAAACTATGTATCCATCCGAAAAAAATCAGTTTGACTTTTTCAAAAACAGCTTGGTAGTAGATCATAATTCCCAAGACCCAGAGAAAAGCGCTCGTGAAGAGAGTCTAATTGCCTTGGCGTACGACTGGGCGTCCAACAGTCCCGTGAATGGAATACCGAACGTCGTGAGGTCGCAAAATTTGATCAAGCGCTTCTTCTGGCTGGTGGCGCTTCTAGGGTGTTTTGGTAAGAGCAAAACGTTAATTGATTAATTGATTAATTAATGAATTGATTGATTGATTGATTGATTCAATTGAGAGAGAGAGAGAGAGAGAGAGAGGATGTGAAACCATCGGCTCCAAGGGATTGACATTCCAATTACTTTGATCGTAATCATGCAGAGCAAATTTGGAAACGAAGTTTGGTGGGCAGCAACAGACTTTAATAGTATGGTATGATACATTTATTGTGATGCGTGTTAAGATAAAAAGATTCAGATAGAATGATGCTTATCTATCAGCTTGAGAATAATTGGTAAATTAAGTAATTTCTGGGTTTTATTTAAAAGATGCAGAAGGCAGTTAATATATCAACGTTTTCACGATTACATATGTAATTGAATTCTTCTAGTGTTTTAAAACTATGAGAGGTAAAACTGATTTTTGCAGTATCGCATGCAAAAACAGGTTATAACTTTACATGAATAGGTCATAAAGATAAAATGGGAAATAGTGCATCGATGTTAGAAGGTACAGATTACTTTTGGTGGTGAGAAGTGGGCAAAAATAACTAATGTGAAGTATTTTTAATCCATTTGTTGGAATGAATAATGCCTTTCCACGCATTTCACAAAAGCATCAATCATATTCTTTTTTATATACTTATAAGGAAGGTTTCCGCCTAAGTTGGCTACCACAAATTGACAAGATCATGACAAAGAAATTGAATGATTGTTTGTCATTCTTGTGCATAACTTTACAAAAGTAATCCAGTCAAAAGAGCACTTGTGTACTAAATTACTGAGGTTGCTTACATTTTTTTCACAATACAAATATATTAAAAAGAAGGCTAAACTTCCATCTCTATGTTTACGTGCAATTTGTTTATGTCAGTTATAATGAAATCCATTATAAAGTTCATCCTGCAATTACGGATTCGCCAAGAAGAAACGAAAACTGATGTCATGGCCCAGATTGCGTTTGTTAAATGCGCTCTTATTCTAAACCCTTAGCATGGGATCATACAATAAATACTAAAATACTTTTAAGCTTCAGCCACATTTACAATTACTTACAAGACAAAAGAACAGGTGGACAGACAGAACAATTAGCTTGAGATCCCATAGCAAGAAATAAGTGAAAATAAATTCATTTTATCACCTACTGTTTACGGCATGACTGACGACAAATGATCAAATAAGCTGTTCAATCCCGGGTATTTTTGTGATCGATGCTAATGGAAAAGTCAACTTCGGTTCGTCAACTCAGCCGTTGCAAAGTGATTGCATATCACTGCCTTTAACTTATTCATGGGCAGTGATTGATGTAACATCTATCGTATAAACAAACCAGTTCAGAAGTTCATCTTTTATAGGTAAAGGTGTCCTGAGCGTCCACACTTAAATTCTATACCACGCGTCAATCAAATAGAGCTACGTCGAGTGTTAACGCTAGATAACTGGTATCTATTCCACGCTGACTTTTTTAAATTGCATGTGTAATTCAAATAAATGTACTTCAATGTGAAATGATCTCCTCTGATTATAAGCGCCCATTTCTCCGGATCACTAATTGGTGCAGTTAGTATGATCTGACAACTGTTTGTACATGTAGTTTTTTTTCTATAGTTCAAATGTGTGTGTGTGTGTGTGTGTGTGTGTGTGTGCTTGAATTTTATTAAAAAGACAATTTGTTCTATTTTGCAAAACATGTGGTCTTAGATTATCTCAACTGTACCAGTTGCGGCAAGAGTATGTTGCCTTATTTTTCTACGTGTAAAACAGCCGAGTTACAGTAAAAATTAAAAACGTTTCCTATTTGTTGAAGATGAATTCCTATCTTCTCTCGCTGCTCTGGGTCTAACAGAGGCGCGTGCTACTTTTTTAAAGTTATTTCTTTTTATCATTTGTGAAACAATGAACCCGTTCTCTCACTAAATAATCAACTATAAAACTTCGTTTACTACAGTTTACATCGGTTTCTATTTAGAATTGATCAGGTTTTAATGTACGTCAATGGCAAACAGTCTAAATGTGATAAACACCAATTAAAAGGACTTATTATTATGTTTTTAACCGTCTGATTCAATAGTGTTTTAGGCTAATTGGGCATATATTGTTATCAGTAAAGTAATTGATGTTTAATCCAAATACTTATATATTAAGTACATCATTAAATCGATTAAAAGAGTACATGGATACTGGTATATACATAGGGTATGTAACCATCTCATTAATGAGGCGTGACAATTGGGGACATTTTTTGCTTCAGGGTTCTATTAACGCCCCGAAATCCTAACACAAAACTGGCTTGGATTAATTGATTATAGACTGACGGGCACTTGGCAAACTGGCGATTAAGCTATCAAAGCAGTTTGGTCAATGAAATTGCTATGCATCCATCATATCTCTGTAAAAGAACTGGCACGATAGCCGTGCTTGTAGACAAAACTAACTCGCACTTATTGATTGCAGATTGACGGACACTAAGGGGTCATTCCCCGTGAAACTATCGTTTTACGTAGATCTGTCCAGCTCCGCGGGGACTCCTGCTGAATGCAATCAGATTAACAGATTAACACGCCTCCTCCTGGCTAGGAGTAGATTACAGGGAAGCTAATGATTATAAGAGCACTCTGGAACCGAGGTTGCGTCTTAGACTGTTAATCTGATTGTATTGGAGTTGGATCGATCTAGGTAGAACGGTAGTTTCATTTGAGAATGAACCCTAAGCTAGGTAGCGATTAATCAATTTTGATGAATGCAAGCGCTACATATAGGTTGCTGTAAACTTTCTTTCTTAGTTGCATTTCTTACCAACCCAAACGCAACCCAAATGTACGCATTCACAAGAAAATAACTTGAATTGAATATATAATTATAAATAATTTACTTAAACACCCGATCAAAAAGAAAACTGGAGAGCAACACATTTTACGTGTTTGTCAAGTCAACAACGCAAGTACAATAAATTGATTTTCACTCAGTATTTTGCCCCATTAGTATTTGTTAAATTTGGCGTTGTGTTTGAAACTTCTACAAAACCAACTTAAGCACTAAACTATTTCTGAACTATTTCTGTCTATTTTTCTTTCTTAACGCAAAGGTCCATGAAGTCCTGTCATTGCAGAGTCGTTTGTCCAGTCATAACAGATACCTTTGTTCAAGAGTATTCATATTGATTGCCCCAGGGGTGGAAGGAGGGGTAGCCAAGGGGATATGTTATTGCCCAGGAATTGTTGAAATATTCCTGGAGCTTTGTGTGTACTTGTTTTTTCTTTCCTTCGGTTTCTTTTTCTTTCATCGTGCATTTTCGAAACATTTTGAAGAAAAATAAGGAAAGATGTATGACACGATAGACTACATTAAACGAAGGTGCCCCCCCCCTCTTTTTCATGTGCCTCTAGGGTAGGAAAACACACCGTGCTCAATACTGACAATATCAGTTGCGGTAACTTTGGTCAACATAGTCAGTCGGGGGTGTGAGCATTTTTGAATGTTATTATTGCGCTGAGCTTCAACTATTCAGTCTGTTTTGACTCGAAAAAATGGGGAAAGGCGATAAAAAGCAGCAAGAATCATTGATTGCGCTGTCCTATAGCTGGGCGTCGAACAGTCCAGTGAACGGATTGCCGAATATAGTGCGCTCTGACATTAATATCTTCAGACGGACAGTATGGATTATCCTCTTCCTCGCGTGCTTTGGTAAGATGTGGGTGGCGTTCACATAGGTATCATGCATCTTGTTCAGCTAAATATTGCTTTTATGTACCAGAGAATTAAACAGGTAATTTGCAGCAGGCAGGTCATGTGAGATTCTTTTCTTGGAGGAATGATGTAAATCCGATCCGACAAATATACTCCATTTGAGAAAAACCGACATTTCAGCAGCAAGGGAAATTTGACACAGACTTAATAATAATAATAATAATAATAATAATAATAATAATAATAATAATAATAATAATGATGAAACAGGCCAAAGTATGATATAAAATAATACAAAATTGCATTTTTTGTTGAAAAATGCCTAGAACATTTGAAGTAGGTTTTACATGTGAGATAAAATTGAAGTCGTTGATTTTACTTCTTTTTTTAGGTGTTATGGGCTATCAGACTTGGGAACTGGTCGCTAAGTTCTACAGGTTTCCTGTTGATACGACGCTGACATACACCCATTCCAAAGAAGTGTACTTTCCCGCCGTCACTGTCTGTAATGTAAACCCACTAAGGTAGGTCTCAAAATGCATCTCTGAATGTGCTATCTGTATATAGGTACTGTTCCAAAATCTCCTGCCTTTTAAGTTCTCCACTTTTTGAATATGCATTTCTTTACTTTTAATGTTTTTGAAAGGCTATAAAACAAAAAAGACGTCTGCTATATGTAATAAAGATAATCTAAAAAATGAACAAGTTTTCCACAAACGTGGCTGTCGAATTTTGGGTAACATTGTATTGTTGACATTTCATACACTAATTGATCATTCATTCTGCTGCATTTCATAAATAGGTCAAATATCTGGATTACTTCCCGTCATTAATAATTCCAATCGACTCTGAATTACCAAACACTTTGTTCATTAAAAGCCTTGTTCGGTTCAATACTTCTTAAGCACAGAGCTGATTATAATCTAATTGGTAAGGCTTAATTGGATAAATCAGAAAAGGTACCCGTTGAAAGGAAATAAACGTATGGATTAGAGAATTAATATTTACATGTCTAGAGTTCTAGGTGTCAACATATTGCATTTTCATATATTTTTTTCTACGGTTACTTCAACTTACTTCAGTACCAACAAAGGAATCTATTAGGAAGTCAAAGTGAATTTTGCCATTTTCTTCGCTCTTCTTTGCCTGTACTATTTGATTGTAAATATTTGATTTAATTCGACACACCCATTTATTCTTCCAGGAGATCTATGCTTTCAAGCGCTGGTGATGATGTTTACGCTCTCCTAGGGCCGCCAAAATCACAAATGGGAAGCAGTCCTGGCGGTGCGCAAGCACCAGCAGGTCCTGCAGGGTCCTTTGCAAGTCAGAGTCAGACCACCCAGGCAGCTGCGGGTCCTCCAGGCCCCGCCTCCTCCAGCATAACAACACAGGCACCTGCTGCACCTGGCCCAAAAGGAAGTGGCAGTGGTGGGACAACTCAAGCACCGTCTGCCAGTCAGACCACGGTAGGTGCGCCTGCTGGCGGCGGCGGTGGGACAACTAAAGGTTCAGCTTCTAGCCAGACCACAGCAGGTGCGCCCGCTGGTGGCGGCGGTGGGACAACTAAAGGCCAGGCTTCTAGCCAGACCACAGCAGGTGCGCCTGCTGGTGGCGGCGGTGGGACAACTCAAGCTCCGGCAGGACCGCCAGCACCGCCAAGTGGCCGAAAACGCAGAAGTACCGGGACAAACAGCACTAGTACTTCGAGACGGAAACCAGTGAGTCTTTGGGTTTACGAGGTTTTGCATGAGCAAGATAACGGAAAAAGGGTTGACATTCACATTCGGTTAAATTTTGTTTCTTCAAAAGAAAGAGAAATGTTGCTTCCTTTTTCTTTGTTTTTCATTTCTTACAGTATTTTGCAAAACACAATTCTGGTTACCATAAAATTATAACGGTATTTTAACATCTAGGGTCAAATGAACGAGCGTTTCGAGATGCGGAAAAGATTTGGAAACATTTGGGCCAAACTAAACTACACAACCCGCGAGACTGTTGGTCATGAATTGGATACTATGATTATTTCCTGTACTTTTAACGGAGTGACATGCAGCTCTGCGTAAGTTTTTTTATTAATCACGATTAATCATAAGCTAGGACACAGACTTTACCTCCTAATCTTAATAATTATTTGCAACATTTAAATTTCAAATGCAGATATTGATTTGGCGACATCATTTTTTATGCCATACAAGTTTGCTTACAAGGTAATATCAAGCATATTTTAAACGTTTTAGAAATTTCACTCGATTCAACAATCATCAGTTCGGGAACTGCTACACTTTTAATTCCGGATGGGATTCAAGCATTCCCGTAGAAACTAGCAGTAACGCCGGCCCTTTGTATGGTGAGTCGACTCGTTAAACCACAATATTTGATGTTTTTTTTAATCAAATCTCTGTAGAGCGCTGACAATTAGAACTTTATTTTAGTCCCTAGTGCAGTTACATATCAATTACAAGTTGTATATTTCCTATGAGCAGGCTGAGTTAACACTTGGGTCTTTTTGCATCGACCGGTTTGATTTTGACTGCTACACCCGGGGCAACGGAACACTTTGAAGCGAACATATGAAAGGGGATAAAACAACCTTAACTTAATTACCTGCAAACTGGAGCGGTACCCTTTTTGTACCGCCCCTTTTTCACATAGACCACGAATCCCACGAATCGCCAGGAATTGACAAATTTCAGGATTCGTGGTTGAATCGTAATCAGTTCGTTAAGTTCTTAACAGTTTCGTATATAATCGTGGTCAGTTCTTGCAATTCTTGATCAATCGGGAATTCGTGGCAAAAATTTTGAGCTGTTCAAAATTTTGGCCACAAACTCCCGATTCCAAAAAACCGTAGTGAATTTCTGGGCAATATTCGTGCGATTCCAGCCGAATCCCACGAATATTCGTAACACCATCGCACCTGTATCGTAAATGAATCGTAGGGCGTGTCGAATTAGACCAGAAAATTGGCAAAATCTCACGAATCCTCACGAATCCTGAAATTTGTCAATTCATGGCGATTCGTGAGATTCGTGGTCTGTATGAAATAGGGGCATAAGCGGGCATATCTTAGCCGTTAGGGACTGGGTCTAGTTCAGACTGACCTGAGTGTCGGGGCACCATAAAAGCTAGCTTGCACACTATAGTACCTTTTCATGCGGTAGCTTTTTAGCATTGCTGAAATGGGTTACATATGAAATCAAGATCGAGCTGGCAATATACTGAAATCAAGAACCTAGGGTACATGTAGCTCAGACCTGACTCCCAGGCGACCTGTCTCGCCTGCTATAAGGATATCAGCATACACTAAGTAGGTTTTCATGACAACGAAACTATTTTTATTATTCTCAGGCCTGAGCCTTGAAATGTACATCGAGCAGTCAGAATACATAGGGGACCTATCCGAGTCCGCTGGGGTGCGTGTTCAGATTCACAGTCAGAGGTCCATGGCATTCCCCGAGGATGAAGGCTTTAACATTGCGCCAGGTTACCTCACGTCAATGGCAATGACGCGGGTATGTCATGGTGTAGTGATATTGATGAACAAAGAGTAGTTTTAACTTTAAATTCAATGGTTTGCAGTAGCAGGCTTTTTTATTTTAACCATTTCTTCAGCTAAGCTCATATCCAATGAAATGTCAAAATGTTGTCACGGTATGACGAAATAAAAAAAGATTATTTTTGCTCTTGTTATCAATTTGCTTATATTCTTTATTGTTATTTTGATAGTTTTAACGTAGTATATTCTGTTTATTAATTTTTTTAATTTTAGCTAACCTGATGACGGATAAATGTTATAGGCCCATTAGCCAGTTTTCCCCGCAATAAAAAATAAATATATAAATACCAGCATATTTCCTTATATGGTGTCATCTTCAAAATTTCAAATTGTAGGTGGAGATTACGCGAAGGCCACATCCCTATCCCAGTAAATGTCGCAATTTCACGACCGAAGAAAGCAAGCAAAAAAGTGTGTTCACGTCCGTGCACAACGTGGACTATTCTGTGTCGGTAAGTCTAGCTCCAAGTGGTTCATACAGAGCGAAAGTGAGAAATGTAATCGTTTCCAAATATACATATTTTATTATGCATTGTGCACTTGAAATGTTTACCGTTGTTTATTGTTATTTTAAGGGCTGTATGAAGACTTGCTATCAGCGCTATGTGATTTCGGAATGCGCATGCGGGGACCCTGCCTATCCCTTCAGCTTGGACTTGGAAGCGTTCTCGGACTTGAAGAATAACATTAATGGAACGACCGCGGAATCTGTTGACCCTTGTGTTAGTGACGCAGATGGTGAGGGAATCATTGTAATCAGCACTAACACATTTTCCGGATCTTACTAAATACAAAATGTAAATTAGCACATTTTTTCTGGGACGAGAAATTTTAACACAAAATATGGTTTTAATATCATGCAAACTGCTTACGTTTCCCAACTCAGACCTTAAAGACGGTAAAAGCTTCTCAAATTAAGGTATCTGGTGTCGACTTTTCCTCTAAAATGTCAGAATGACGTTCAGCGTTGTGAATGAACAATTATTCGTTCACGGCTTTGTTATTTTCAATTAGAAATGATGAGAAACAGAATCTAAGTGCAGGCACCGATCTAGCAATTATTCATGAGTAGGAAAATTATAGACAAAAAAATGAAAGGAGTTGATTTTCGGAAGACTAAATTTGAGTCCGTCTGCTAAGAAACTAAGGTCTGCACCTGGAATTGTCCGTAATGACACTTAATGAAGTCTGCTCATTTCCAGATGAGTGTGTTGCTGGTATCAAAAGAAGGTTTGCTGATGATGATTTGTCTTGCGACTGTCCTTTAACATGTGTGTAAGTACTGTACAACTACCATCGCTTACTTTTTCTTCGTTTTTCTAAATACCAAATTTGGCGCAAAACTGATACATTTCGGTTGTTTTCTTGCCTTGCCCCCCCTCCCCTTCCCTCAAGTATCCCTGAATAACAAGGTGATTACATAGGAAGTGATGTACATGTTATCTCTATGTATGTTTCAGAGATGTTGAATACTCCGGAGTTCCGTCCTTGGCAAAGTGGCCGTCCAAACAATACATGGTAAGTGTATCTCCAGTGTAAAACTAGTTGTTTGCCCAGAAATTTGAAAACAAACCATGGCGAACAGACAAGTGGTTATTTCTACGAATCAAAAGATCTGAAAATGCCTTAAATGGTTGTGTTATTTTATACTTAATTGTTATAATTTTTTTTAATGGTGTATTAACCGGTCGTCCCGCATTTTTTTCACGTGATACGTGGTTGCATTTTTTTCTTTGGAAATGTAAATTTCATTTTGAAAAGGAATAGCAAAGGGAGGCCAATGTTGTCTTCGTATTGAATCAAACGTTTTAGGCGTAGTCAACTTTCCTTTCAGTCTACACTCCATGCGACCTTGGCCTCTGCTGGAGCGCACCTGGATAACATTATCAATGGAAAAAACGGCATGGCCGCCGAACCTGGGTAAGCCATAACAAGCGGTTTACACATCTCGACAAATGCATAATTACTCAGACGTTAAAACCACACAATGGGGTTTAAACCTTTATATAAGTTTTCAATATTTTAATTTCCCTTAATCACCAAGTTATACACCATATCCATAATATTTCACAAGAGTATGGTCCACAAATCTTTGTTTAGTTTTTGAGTCTCTCTTCCAGTGGAGAATGAGACGGGTGAATTTCACATTTGACGCTACAAATAAACATTTAGAACTCGTTTATGAGTTTATAAATCGTGATTTGCTCAGCGGTTTTGAATAGAGCATACCTTAGTGATAAAATGAACATTTGCTGAAATTTCAATAAATCTATTGTACAAAGGTCTAACGCATATTGTATGCCTTTAGGCTAAATGGCCGGATATTTCCCCTTTGATTTTTCACTTGAATAAAAAAAGGTATTTTGAATTGTAAAGTAAAAGAATGAAGGGCAAATTCTTCCAATAAAATTTAATCAGTAACTTTACTTTTGCAGTGACAATCTACTGAAACTTGAGGTGTATTTTCAAGAGCTAAATTTCCAAAAAATAAGCGAAAATGTTGCGTATGACGTAAGTATTTTGCTGGAGACAGTATTCAGTTTTTAACGGACATCTTGTTTTCAAATCTTTTTTTTGCCAAACTAGATTTGAAACTCATTTACGTGTCTTTATTTTTCTCTGCTATTAGGACCAAAGAACAATTCATGTAACTTGTTTATTATTTGTAGGTTTTTGCTCTCCTTGCTGACATTGGAGGTCAAATTGGGTTCTGGGTGGGACTGTCCATCATGGCTCTCTTTGAAGTTGTCGAACTTATCCTGGACGTCTTCCGTCTCCTACTCTTCCGCGTGGGGAGTTTCTGCTTTAAAAAACAGCAGAAACGCCCTCCCTCCAGACAGGTGAAAGTTCAACCGGCGTCAGAAGAGAACGTCTTGACCCCCAGACTGGAGAAAGTACGATTCACTTAGGAGAAGGGGCCCTACGATTCAAGTAATCGAAACTGTATATTTTGAGTTCAAAGGAGAGGCGATATTCGTGGATTAAGATTTGGGGTACATGTATTTATGGGATTATTATGCTGTAATTTATAAAGCATTTAAAACACTTACCTCAATTACCTGGAATTGTATTTGTCACAAAGACTGGCCTTGTATGTAAACGCGGTAGCATTATTTTGTGCACTCGAGATAATATCTATTCGGCTGTCTATTTACTTATTTCATTATAGCAGCCTTAGGCATGCAGGCGGCGTTATGGAATTGGTTTTTAGATTCAATAGTTTAAAATACTAAACATGTCTCCTCCTGTTCCAGTATTTATCATTATAAAACATTTTTCTTTTCATCATCATTAGATATGTATTAGTTAATTGGTTATATTTGTAGATTCTGTTAAGATGAGTACACAATTCTTAAAGCGATTTGCCATCTTTATATGTATATATTATTATATAATTTTCATGAACCAATAAATATGTTTAAGAAATTTCTCCTCCAATTTATCATGATACGATCAGTAGGCACGGGCAGCTTCGTTGTAATAACAATTAATGCTATTTACATCCTTTTTTCAGTATTTCCCCTCACCGTTCCCTGATAAAGGTCTGTCTGTTGGCTTATTCTCTACCAGCCACCACCTACTAAATCAGNTTCATGTGACACGTGGTTGCAAATTTTTTTCCTTCGGAAATGTAACTTTCATTTTGAAAAGGAATAGCAAAGGGAGGCCAATGTTGTCTTCTTATTGAATCAAACGTTTGAGGCATAGTCAACTTTCCTTTCAGTCTACACTCCACGCGACCTTGGCCTCCGCTGGAGCGCACCTGGATAACATTATCAATGGAAAAAACGGCATGGCCGCCGAACCTGGGTAAGCCATAACAAGCGGTTTACACATCTCGACAAATGCATAATTACTCAGACGTTAAAACCACACAATGGGGTTTAAACCTTTATATAGGTTTTCAATATTTTAATTTCCCTTAATCACCAAGTTATACACCATATCCATAATATTTCACACAAATCTTTGTTTAGTTTTTGAGTCTCTCTTGCAATGGAGAATGAGACGGGTGAATTTCACATTTGACGCTAGAAATAAACATTTAGAACTCGTTTATGAGTTTATAAATCGTGATTTGCTCAGCGGTTTTGAATAAAGCATACCTTAGTGATAAAATGAGCATTTGCTGAAATTTCAATGAATTTTTGTACTGTACAAAGGTCTAACGCATATTGTATGCCTATAGGCTAAATGACCGGATATTCCCCCCTTTGATTTATCACTTGAATAAAAAAAGTATTTTGATTTGTATAGTAAAAGAATGAAACAACAAATTCTTACAATAAAATTTAATTTTTAACTACTTTACTTTTGCAGTGACAATCTACTGAAACTTGAAGTGTATTTTCAAGAGCTAAATTTCCAAAAAATTAGCGAAAATGTTGCGTATGACGTAAGTATTTTGCTGGAGACAGATTTCAGTTTTTAACGGACATCATTCTTGCCACACTAGATTTGAAACTCATTTACGTGTCTTTATTTTTCTCTGCTATTACGACCAAAGAACAATTCATGTAACTTGTTTATTATTTGTAGGTTTTTGCTCTCCTTGCTGACATTGGAGGTCAAATTGGGTTCTGGGTGGGACTGTCCATCATGGCTCTCTTTGAAGTTGTCGAACTTATCCTGGACGTCTTCCGTCTCCTACTCTTCCGCGTGGGGAGTTTCTGCTTTAAAAAACAGCAGAAACGCCCTCCCTCCAGACAGGTGAAAGTTCAACCGGCGTCAGAAGAGAACGTCTTGACCCCCAGACTGGAGAAAGTACGATTCACTTAGGAGAAGGGGCCCTACGATTCAAGTAATCGAAACTGTATATTTTGAGTTCAAAGGAGAGGCGATATTCGTGGATTAAGATTTGGGGTACATGTATTTATGGGATTATTATGCTGTAATTTATAAAGCATTTAAAACACTTACCTCAATTACCTGGAATTGTATTTGTCACAAAGACTGGCCTTGTATGTAAACGCGGTAGCATTATTTTGTGCACTCGAGATAATATCTATTCGGCTGTCTATTTACTTATTTCATTATAGCAGCCTTAGGCATGCAGGCGGCGTTATGGAATTGGTTTTTAGATTCAATAGTTTAAAATACTAAACATGTCTCCTCCTGTTCCAGTATTTATCATTATAAAACATTTTTCTTTTCATCATCATTAGATATGTATTAGTTAATTGGTTATATTTGTAGATTCTGTTAAGATGAGTACACAATTCTTAAAGCGATTTGCCATCTTTATATGTATATATTATTATATAATTTTCATGAACCAATAAATATGTTTAAGAAATTTCTCCTCCAATTTATCATGATACGATCAGTAGGCACGGGCAGCTTCGTTGTAATAACAATTAATGCTATTTACATCCTTTTTTCAGTATTTCCCCTCACCGTTCCCTGATAAAGGTCTGTCTGTTGGCTTATTCTCTACCAGCCACCACCTACTAAATCAGAAAAATATGAAAGATAAATTAAGTGTAAATATGAAAGCTAATAAAAGTTGAGAATATGTCAGACAGCATAACTTCCGTCTCTGTCTGTAAAACCTATCATGTTTTACTGCATGGCTGCATGTGATAACTTATATATAAGTATATACACTATATATTGACCTATTTCATTACGTTACTTATGTATTTGTTTGGTCATAGCCTTCTTAAAATTGTATGAGAACTAATAAAGATTATTATTATTATTATTATTATTATTATTATTATTTGCTTCCCAATAATTTCAGGGACTTGATAATTTAAGAAATAATTTAACACAGTACAAATATGCCCTGAACTCACTCTTAGCATCATAATTGGTATTTCTACCTAAATTTTACAAGTTGCTTTTGGATTTTGAAGGAGACTGGAAACCTGCCAAGTTCATAGTTTGTAATTCCAAGTTTGACGTCTACAGTGCTCAATATTTTTCTGTCCTTACCGTCAAACCTGTAGCATCATGATACCGTAAATGCTGCTCCATGTCACACAAAATATACATCAGAGGGAACAATTAAAGAAAAAAAGGTCAACCCTATCTTCCTCTGGAGTTACAGTAAAAAAATATAACACGAGATTTTATCAATATTAAGTATTGGTTTGATACCACTGTAAAACATTTGCCAGCCAATTAATAGGGAATGAACTGTTTACATATGCATTGCCTCCGTCCTGTATCGAGATTTTATTTCTTGATCATTGAATTGTAAGTTTTTGTAAAAATACTAAATCTGGAAGATAAAACTATAGTTGATCAAAAGATCGCACTTGCCACGTGCTTATGTATGGTCAACCAATCAGAAGAGGGGCTGTGCTGCACACATCTCCAACACGTCATTACGAAGATATTGAATATTTCTTATTATCTGATTCTATTTATGTTTGATACTTGAAACATTATTTAAATTTCAGTTTCTCAGTACATAACTCACGTTTGCAAATTAATGTTATAAATGTTATTATTATACATATTTATTATAACAACACAATCGAAGCGATTCCCAGCGCCAATTTGATTCTTATAATAATAATTGTTAAATTGTAACCTTGAGAGGTTAGAAAATTAAGAAAATATGCATTATATGCTTCATAAAAGACATTATAGTGTATGTGAGTGTTTAACTCGGCTTATAGAAGTGATTTTGAAGTTGAATGATATTAAGGAGAGATTTTTATGAGTGATAAATTTACACATATTGTTCCATAATTTACACATTCGGTATCTGCATGCGCAAGTTCTCTTACCGACCCCAGTCTTTTTAATAACGATTTTTTTTTTTTTTTTTGGGGGGGGGGGTCAACTTTCACCTTTTAAGGGTATAAAAGTAACACATCTTAGGTTTTCCTTGAAAAATTTTCCCACTTTTACGAACCAGCGATAATGCATTAAAAAATTAAGCGAAAAAATTTTAGTCAAAACAAAGGTCGATCTCGCGCAAACCTACTAAGTGCAAATTTTGCCGGTGTAACAGGAATGCAAGTCCGGACTCCCATATGATGAGTACAGGTAAGGGTTAGTTGGAGTATTGGGGTTAGTATATGGGACGAATGTCACCTGTACAAAGTAATGGGAAGCGGACTACGGTTCCTAGCGGAGTTGCATTCATTCCTGTTACACCTGGCTTTATCTACAAGATAATGGCCAGGCTAGTAATTGTCATTAGAAATAACGCTTCCTCGCATTTTTGTTTCATTTAATTAATAAAAATTCGCATGAAATACTGGTCTTGGTGGTTTTAAATGATAGAAAAATGTTTTGGTGTGTAGGAATTTTTCAGTATTTCACCCAAGAACAGTGCACCTTCCCCTTTCAAAAAAAGCTTAGTGGAAGTTCTCAAATTTAATATGTCAACTTTCATGAACTCGTGAACTGAGGGTTAAGATTCGTGCATATACGAGGTTTCACGTTTTCCTCCACGTTCACGATATTTGTGGCGAATAAAAAAAATTCCAAGTCCCCTTAATCAGGTTTTAAAAGTTCAACTAGAAATAGATAGTTATTATCAGTCGTTCATTTTTGATTGTAAATTAATACCAACTACTTTGCTACTTAGACGAGAAAATGTTGGGGAAAAAAGTGAAGACGACTTCTCTTCACGAGTCCTAGGTCCTCTTGATTTTTAACAATAGCAGAAAGCCCGATTGCATTGGGGACACAACATAATACACACGCACCCTGTTCTCAAACTTGTTTTAGGTTGGTTCATTCTACACAGTTCATCAATCATACACTTTCTCTACAATCCCTCTCTTGAAATATACGATTTAAATAGCAGAAGGGGGAATTACGTGACAAAAACATACCTCAGACATTTGGTAATATTTTATTTTCACCACAAAACGGGTTTTAAAACAATGAAAGATGAAAGTCCTCTAGATAAATAATTTAAATCATTTCTTCGTGAATCAGCCTTACACACAAACAGTTTTCTTTAGGGTCTTGTTTAAGAACTCTGAAGTCCTTTCTCTTTTAAAGTTAATTTCATTTTTGACAAATGTGTGATGTAATGTGATGTCAAAACGGGTCCCTTTACTTGTAAATTACTGTAGAACACTGCAACCAACTATCTGAAAAGAACAAGAATAAAATATAAATATTTAATCAACAATATGAAACAAACCAAATAAGGATAAACATAATAAGAGGCCATTCAGAATGAGAAGAGCCAAGTGCTAGCTAGGCCACGACTTAAATATGGCAGACCTACATGAAAGGAAGACCGCTTAATCCTGTAATGGTCTCTCCACCTCTCACATGCCTCCCCACGTGTCATCCCAGCAGGGGCACAGTAATTAAATCTCAGCTCAATTCAATCATTCAAGGTACAACGTGTGGGGAGCTGTGTGAGAGGTGGAGAGACCATTACAGGATTAAGCGGTCTTCCTTTCATGAAGGTCCGCCATATTTAGGTTGTGGCCTAACTAGCATTCAGCTCTTCTCATACTGAATGGGCTCTTACAGGTGCTTGATAAAACAAAGTGAAGACATTAAATGTATCTGATCTTTTCCGCTTCAAGGCTCAAGGATTCATAGCAACACGTTGTTAAAATTAAAGAAAATTTGCCTTTCCTTCATCAAAACCTGTAGCAAATTCAAGTAAGGGTTCTACCAACTTACTAATTATGCATAATAATCATTTGATTCTACATCTTTCAATGCTAATTCTGGTTTGTCATAGCCCAGTTCTTCTGGAATATCCATGCCAACCTCTTCCAGTGCAGGTTTTATCTCTTCAACAAGTGCTTTCCAAGAATTCATTTTTTTGTCTATTATACTGTGCCGGTGCTAAGAAAGAAAACAAAAATCTGCATTAGATGGGCTAAACATGCTAAGTATTTGGTGGACAATAAAATATCCACACATATTGCTGCAGATGAATTTATAACTAATATATATATTCTCATTCATTTCATTCATAAATACTCTCTTCAATTTTGTACGAAGACACCAAGAAAAAAAATTTTTAAACGTTTGAATAACATCTCCTACATCAGTCTATATATTCTATTACCCTGGTAAATTCAAGGAACCGAACACCAAGAGCATAATCGTTCACCCGCCTACAGGCATTGATGTAGGCTATACAGATGTCTGCATCAGGGATGAGTTCACCACCCTGAAACATACAAATATCAGACACAAACATCACTGTTCTGACAAGGATTTAATGACTAAAACTGCCTAGTTTGGTAAAAAATCAACAAGCATTGCCTAAGCTCAACCAGAAAGTAGACGGTACAGACTTATAATATGTTAGCAACAGTGAACAACTTTCTCACAGATGAGAAAAAACTACTTGAGAATTATTAGATCATTTAAGATTTACCAATTACAAAATATTTGAAATGAAAAAAAAAAAAAAAAACACAGGTAAAAACTCATTTTCATCTTAAATCAGTCTGACTGGAAAAAATCTGCAAAGTTGCTGGTGATTGCAATACCAACATTAAATACAATAATTATTACCGCAAAGTCATTTCCAATACCCCTGAGGTCCCAGCCATCGATCTCTGGACTGTTAAGAGCATCTGTAAATAATTTGGATGTAGCATTTTCTTCCTCTTCTCGTGAAAGACCACCTGGCTGCATGTTAGCTGTAAAATTAAAATGCAAACCTTCAGACCATATCATTTTTTCTAATATACCTATTCTCAAAATACCAATACAAATTAAAAAATACTTTCGGAGGTCTGGACAAGGAAGTGAAAAAGACAATTACTTTCACTGGAATCTAACCTTTACTTCCCATGGTGCGCGTGAACCAATGTAGGAAGATTACGAGTGCTAAAACATGGTTATGCAGACTGGGTAGTCGTTATATAGTCGTAACGGGACTACGTGCAGAAGACACTTTCTTCGGTTAGGTTGAAGAAAATACTAACTGGCACGACACTGACGAAGAAACTATTAAATATGTACCTGGTAATATTGAATAATGCTTCCTCTGTACTGCTGCTATAGGTAGAGACCTGCAGCGGTGTAATACGGCACGAAACATGATGTTGAGGGCCATTTTTTCCAAAGAGAAGCTTATGGAGGACGATCCCAGAATTCGTTTTTGCGCAGGCGCACAGTAAGTTCCGGAGACGATGTGGAGGCTGACGTTTTTGTAGTAAGTACATGTATTTCTCTCACTTTCTCACATTTGTGGCTGTAGTACACACCAATTTTATCAGCATCATCACTGTATCATGAATTATTTAGTTTTAATATTATTTTAATGTAAAAAATAATAGATCTATGCTACATTAGTAATATCTGCATGACATCATTCATAATAGAAATGCCCCCCCCCCCCACCACTTACCCCTTTTTCTGGTCAATCCACTGAGGCAATATTCATAGCATGTAAAGAAGACCTGGCATCCAGCACATCATTTCGAGACTAGTTTATGTTTTTGATCATATTATGATCTTTTATAAAACTCATTCATTTTAAATCTAAACAAATTTTGTATGGTTTTCCTTGTAAAAAAAAAAAAAAAAAAAAAAAAAAAAAAAAAAAAAAAAAAAAAAAAAAAAAAAAAAAAAAAAAAAAAAAAAAAAAAAAAAAAAAAAAAAAAAAAAAAAAAAAAAAAAAAAAAAAAAAAAAAAAAAAAAAAAAAAAAAAAAAAAAAAAAAAAAAAAAAAAAAAAAAAAAAAAAAAAAAAAAAAAAAAAAAAAAAAAAAAAAAAAAAAAAAAAAAAAAAAAAAAAAAAAAAAAAAAAAAAAAAAAAAAAAAAAAAAAAAAAAAAAAAAAAAAAAAAAAAAAAAAAAAAAAAAAAAAAAAAAAAAAAAAAAAAAAAAAAAAAAAAAAAAAAAAAAAAAAAAAAAAAAAAAAAAAAAAAAAAAAAAAAAAAAAAAAAAAAAAAAAAAAAAAAAAAAAAAAAAAAAAAAAAAAAAAAAAAAAAAAAAAAAAAAAAAAAAAAAAAAAAAAAAAAAAAAAAAAAAAAAAAAAAAAAAAAAAAAAAAAAAAAAAAAAAAAAAAAAAAAAAAAAAAAAAAAAAAAAAAAAAAAAAAAAAAAAAAAAAAAAAAAAAAAAAAAAAAAAAAAAAAAAAAAAAAAAAAAAAAAAAAAAAAAAAAAAAAAAAAAAAAAAAAAAAAAAAAAAAAAAAAAAAAAAAAAAAAAAAAAAAAAAAAAAAAAAAAAAAAAAAAAAAAAAAAAAAAAAAAAAAAAAAAAAAAAAAAAAAAAAAAAAAAAAAAAAAAAAAAAAAAAAAAAAAAAAAAAAAAAAAAAAAAAAAAAAAAAAAAAAAAAAAAAAAAAAAAAAAAAAAAAAAAAAAAAAAAAAAAAAAAAAAAAAAAAAAAAAAAAAAAAAAAAAAAAAAAAAAAAAAAAAAAAAAAAAAAAAAAAAAAAAAAAAAAAAAAAAAAAAAAAAAAAAAAAACATGGGTCTCACTGTATTGTGCAATACAGGGAATTCAGCGTAATACACTTGAAAAACAAGTCCAGTCGCAAGTAAAAATGGGAAACTGTAATTCCCAACAAAATAGGGTGATATAAAAGTGAAGTATATTACTATAAAATTAATATCGTTGTGTACTGGTTGGCTGGGATTGGCCAGGGCTTGGTAGCTGAGTCGGTAAGAGCAGTCGTACAGTTTGCGAGAGTCCCGGATTCGAGTCCCAGTGGAGCCTTGGTGTTTTCTCCCCCCAAATTGCTACAGTTGATACAATTTAACAGATTGGCACAATTTGTTCGTCGTTGTTGCAGCCGCTGTGTTAGCTAGCTAGTAGCTCTTCTTGGCCAGTAATATTGCTGAGAAGATCTACTTGCCAACATGGCTACTGACCCAACAAACTACAAGTCATGTTGATTTGTTAAGTGATGTCAATGATATTTATAACCTTGTAATACATTTTGCTTTTATATCACCCTATTTTGTTGAGAATGACTGTTTGCTTTGTTTAATTGCAATAGCATTCGTTTTTTCAAGTGTATTGCACTGTGTTGTGCTGTATTGCACTATATTGTGGAATTCAGGGACACTGAAAAGGCACAAAAATAATTTTAAAAAGTATGCCATTAACACTATTCTTTGGTTGTATTCACTTTACCAATACGTGATATTAGTCCAGCATTTCCTTTTAGGTAATATGTTAAATTTAACTTGGAGGGTGCTGTTACAGCTGACAACATGATTGAGTTCTGCACTCCAAAACGGATGACTGTAGCCATTTTTGTGCTCATTGTGTAAGTAGAATATTCATTACCAGTAGTTAAGGCAAAAAGAATTTTGAAATCTTCCCAGTTGCCAACATGACAGTACTCAAAATCCATCCATAGCATGTTGATTTATACTGGTGAAGAAAAAAGCAGACTAAAGGAGGTGAAAACATAACCTGGGTGGAGGTAACAGTGGGAGTCTGCCCCAGATGATACATAGAATATGTGTAACTAAGTAGAGTATAACTGGTTCCCATAACCTTATTGTACCAGTAGGATCAGTCTATCTCAGCAGAGATTCTCGCTCAGGCAGAGTCAATGTTATCAGCTTTATTGTCGGGCACGCCCCCCTCGCAAAACAGCGTGAACAATCCGTGGACCACAAAGTTTTCCTGACTTTAAGTACTTAAAGTTATGAGGGGGCGTGCCAGACATTTAAGCCACTGAAACTGAATGCAATTTAGCGAGAATCCCTGAGATTGATCCAGCCAGTACGATAGGGCTATGAGAACAGTCCTCAAGATCTATAATACACAGAACATATGTAATTAACAAGATAGACTACTGTATGTGTAAATGTGTACAGTGGGCAATTCTTAAAACGTCCTTCTAGAAGAGATTAGAACTGAAGACTGTGCATGGCATGATTGTTCACAATATATCAAAAATTTTTCATAAGCAATTTATCTTTTTTATTACATCAGCAGTGGCTGTGCATTTTTGCTGTACATACAAATAATATTATTTTGACTGACATTGGATTCTAATGTTAATTCTCTTTATTTTAGAGTATCAGTGTTAGTTTTATTTCTGGAGAACCATTTTAGTGGACACATTGATCTCAAGAATGTGACACACCTCTCAGGTCTGTATGCAGTTGATAATTGGATCACATTAAGGGCGCGTTCCCATAGATTTTAGATCGATCTATCCCTGTGGGGAGTCTCACTAGATTACTGTCAGATAATCCGGCTTAAATATCCGTCCTGCCTACTACAAGCTGTAGGGGGGTAATTAGCTTTCGTGCCCGCTCGGCTGACAGCTATTTAGCATGAACCCCCAGGGAGTAAGGTCGATCTAGTTGGATCGATCTAATCTCTGGGAATGGGGTCTAAGATGTATCACTGAGAATTGAGGCTCTGCTATAATTTCAGTGTTTGGTATTTATAACAGACTGCTCAGAAAATAGCCTTAGAGAATCTGAAAATGCTATTCTGTTTAAGTAACACACTACAATCTGGATAAGACTGCACTGGATTTATTTAGAGAGAAGCAATGTTGGGAATAAATGTTTAACGTAATTCCAAATCATATTATAGCTGCAATAAATGTAGCAGTGTGTAACATAGAGAAAGTATCTTAATCCTCTTTAACATTTATTGATATATATGCATTTCAGAAAACCAAAGTGAAGCCAACGTGTGCCAAATGACAGGGAAAAAATATGTTATTGTAGATGAATGCAGACATTGTACACCTTTTGAAATGGTGGGTAGTTATCTTAGTGTATTTAATGCAGTTTAATTATTGTGAAATATATATTTTATGTTATGCAAAACTTTTTCGTTGGATATTCATATGGTGCTGCTAACACATTAAATTAGCTTGATTTTAATCAAGATGTTATGTCACCTGTACTCTTATCTTTAATGTATATTTTATGATATAATTAATCATTATTGATTCAGAAGCACAAAGTCGAGTGTCAACAGACAGGATATTATGAAAAAGTCAAATGTGGTGGAAAAGAAAAATACCACAGGTAATTTATTTTTTTTTTTTTATTATTTTTTTTTTTTGGAAGAGGTTATAAAAATAAACGTCTAGGTAGAACCTATAAAATGTAGTTTATGGACATGCAGGAATTTTATGTAAATACTGATGGTTCAGTAGAAGAGAATTTTAATGATATTGAGAACACATTTTTTCCCTGATTAGTTGAGGTCTAAGACAACATTTTACAAAAATTCTAGTTTCTTTTATTAGCAGTGTTTGACATTAAGATTTTGTTGCTTGACAATAACAATATCTTATTGGTTCTCTTATTGCAGTTGTCCAAAAATCCACTGGATGGAAGAGAGGGATTACTGGGTGTTTGAGGGGGTCTCCCTCACAGTGGGACTTGTTTCATATGGTGTAGTGCATATACGACGGAAAAGATTAGATCGATTACTTATGGAAAAAGTGAACAAACAGATAGCTTCTGGTGTCTGATGAAAAGAAACATTTTCTTCAAAGCTTTCTTCGGGCACAGAAATTTTGGGGGAGGGTGGGGGTAAATTTAATTTATTAGTTATTTATTGGATTCCATGGTGGATTATAAATGGGAGGTAACTGTTTACTAAAGCTTGATTGAAACATGTTCTGTACACTGTTCAAAAAGCTAGAACTCTGCTTCACAAGTGGGATATTATAGACGGTGTCTGTGCTCTTAAATTCTTAGCTTGTTTTGAATAATTATCAGTGTGTTAAGAGATTGTTAAGTATTTTAAGCTGATGGTGAATGGCAAAAGCAGTTTTTATGGTGCAATTTTTTCATTTTAACTGATGATGAAAAGCAGGTGTTTGTTCTTCTCATTGGCCGGTGAAATCTCAATATCTTCTTCTCACATCTATGTATGTAATATTACCAGTGTAAATATATTTTATATTTATACATGTGCTTTATCTTGGAACATTTTTACCGTCTTCTGAGTTATTGCCTCATTATCTTCTTGTGAAAGAAGTAACAGGCTTGTATGAAAAGCAGTGTGCTATTAAAAAAAATCCCATCTGATCCGTGCTTGGGCTCCAGTTATAGTGACACTGACATTTGACATCAGGTGCATGTCACACTTTATTTATTGTAGAGTACATCACCCTATGCTGATGCAAGTCCCTGTAATTCTTTTACTCAAAGAATGCAATTAATACAGTTATACATTTATATAAGCAAAAAAAAAAAAAAAAAAAGATTCAGGTGCTTGACACTTGTTTATTTTTTAAATTGTATGACAAATGTAGAAAAGAAAAAATTAACATCAAATTAACATTTCACAAGAGTTCTCATCATAGTGATATATGCAAACAAAGCATATGTTGAGCAGCATTTTATTGAGATAAATGAAAAGATCAAAATCTGCTATTTATTGAGAATGAACTTGAACTTTAGAGCATTCAGCACTCAAGTCCATTTTGACTGGAAGATGTTTCAAGTATTTTAAAATGGCCAGTTATAATACAAGACTTTTTTCTAGTACTTTTTAAAAGTTATGCATCACAGTTGGCCAACATATTTGTAACTAAACAAGTTACTTGTTTGAAACGATAGAAATCAGATTTTTCTACAACCCACAGTGCGTGGAACCTCTGACCTGCAGAGGATAGCAGATTATAAATTAATGAAATAATCTCCAGTGCTGACAAAGACAAACACATGTCATCAGGAAATGTATGGAAACAAGTAATCCCATTTTCTTTTCCATATCTATTCCACCAATATATTTCATGAAACTAACAAAAAAATTGGTTTGGAAAATAATTGCACTGACAACATCAGTAGTGTCTGATGTGGGTCATTCCACAAAAAAGTGCACATTCTAGTCACATCAATAACACACATCTTTTCTTTACAGAGAAAGAGAACTTAAGACTATTTCACTTTAAATACTACTGATTCTTTCCATATTAGAGTGCACTGCAGTATAAAACAAGAATAATGGGGCACCTGCCACAAGGCAAAATTCTTCAAATATAACACAAAATGTGTGTCACAGATGTGACTCAAATGCTCACTTTTTTGTGTGATATCACCCCAGTCAACATACACTGTACTGTTACAGTATTAACCCTATGCTTTGATGTATCTAAGCACCACTAATCTGCGTCTCCCATCACTTTCCAGAACCACCTCTTTCTTTTGTTGTCTTGACATTAACTGATGATGATCGGGGTCTCTCAGCCCTAAAAAAATAAATATTAAAATTTTATTAGAAGGGAGTGATGTACAGTCATTTCAGGTAACTGATGCAATATATACTATTCTCTTTATAAGTTTGTGAGACACAAGAAAAGCCATTTTTAAGAAATTGGGAAGTTTTGAAATGACAGAAGTTCCACTTGAAGAGTGTGATTAAAAACAACTCACTGTTGCACACTTGCCACCTCTATGTCTCCATCTGTTGTATTGATTGACACAGGAATGTCAAGAGTATTAGTTCTCTGCAGCTTGTTGTACATACCAGGGTTCCGATTAATAGCTTCCCTGAAAATGAAAAATAATGGGATAAATAATAATGGTATACAGTAAACTGCAGAATCTCTTGTAGTAGCTCCCTACACGGTGGGTGCAATGCCATCTGTGCATGTGCAGATTTAATTGCTACCATCTGGCCAAAAGTTACAGGGTGGCTTTTTGAAAAATTGCCTTGCCTATCTGCCACCCTTGTATTGAGTTTGTAAACAATATCATAATGGATATGTAAATGGTCAAGTTTATTGAAGAAAGTTCAGTGTATGACTTTGAATGAATTTCTAATATGGAAGTCGTCTCTCTCTCTCTCTGTCTCTCTCTCTCAGGGCATGTTCAGAACCAGTTGATCCGTGGACTAACTTATCCACAAATCAAATATGGCGCGAATTTGACAATGGATTCCTGCCTCCCACACACACACCATTCCTGCAGGGGCAGAGCAATTATATCTCATTTGATCCATTGAATAATTAGTTCAGGGATCAACTGGGTCTGAACAAGCCCATAGTAATAAAATTCAAAACAACCATACTTACTTTCTTTGGTGCTCATAGTGCAACTGCTGCTTCATGAACATGGAATTTTTCAATAGGTCTTGGATATTTTGGAAGTGAGTAGCACTATTATGGATCACTTTTACTGCACTGCAAGATATTGGGTATCATATATTGTACGTGGACAGGGAGATATGTTGTCACAATAAGGAGAGTTCAGTTTCTTTTCAAATATGAAAGTGACATGTATTTAAACATTCAATCCTAAGAAGGTACAGATAACTTAACAGAATGAAATAAAAATAAACATCCCATACATATATATCATTAAGTGTAAGACCCCCCTCCCCCCCCCCAAAAAAAAAAAATAAAATAATAATAATAAATAAATATATGAAAAAAAAAAAATAAAATAAAAAATAGAAAAAAAGGCTGCTGTGTAGCTGATGCTTACTGCGTGTCATAATCAGCATCAAAGCTGGAACCCTGCACCTTATCCTGGAGATCCTGAACTTCATGCTAAAACCATTGAAAATCAGGATGAAAAACACTTTCTCTTTCAGTGTTGTGCCACATTTATTATTACATCTACAATCTGTGACATAAGTCAAAAGAAGATAGGATTTTGAGTAACATTTCATCATAATAATGTTTATTTGCAACTAAAAATAGTTGGATTGTACAATAAAGTATGAATAACTTTAGCATAAATAATCTGTGGTTACTTTCTGGAAATAGCAAAGTATCATCAAATGTGCAAAATATGTGGCCAATTATTTTCTGTCGACAGTTTCTCACCCTCTTCTCCACCAACTGTGGCAAGGTTTTCCTAACATGCTCCTGTATTCTGAACAATGCCAATGATGGTTCATTGGCCACGACCTGGATGTTCTCTGAAAACTTCTCTGTTACTGAAAAATGAAAGACACAAGCACAGCACTTATCTTAGTACAGTATAACCAACTGCATGGTGCATTCCAAGGAAAATGTAGTTTGTCACTTGATCTGTATACATGCCTTTTACCTCTTTATGTATCTTTTGGCTCTGTTGTTAAATATCATAGATGCATATAGGTCTAATGGTTTAACAAAGCTCTTGTTTACTTAATTTGCAAGTAATTACTTCACAAAGCACGCCCATGTAAGATTACAAATTTTTATGCTAAGACCAAATCTCTCTAGTCTATGCCAACTAGAACCACTGGATACCAATATTTGGGTAACTCATTATTTATCTGTCTAATTAATCCACTGATATAGTCCATCTCAATTTTTACAACACTAACCTCTCTTGGACTTCTGTAACAACTCTGGATTTACATCGTCACCGAAGCGAGGATCTACTGCAATAGATTACAGAATCATTATGATACATGTACTGACATAGTCTGACATAGTATTGTATACTCTTTGTAGATTTTTTTTTTACTCTCTTACTAGACTTCATGTGTAATATTGCATTATTGTAGATATGTTTTTGTCCTTACACAGTCGGAGAATAGCTGTAAAGCTAATGTTTCCATTCAATTTATAACCGACATGAAATAAAATTTATTGTATTGTATTGTATTGTAACAGTCGTCTGCATGTCGTTCACAGGAACAGGACGGCACTTGTGAACTGTACATGCATGCAAGAAGACAAGTTCTAAACGGCGTACTTAGAACTGATACGCAGTTTTTACTCTCTAATTAACGTTTTTAACTCACTGCAGTGCTGACACTAAAGACAAAGAAAATGTACAGTATATTTTAGAAACGTAAATGCTAAACAGAACTTGGACTGAGTGATACTGCTAGTATTACAGTAGTAATGCAATGGTAATGGAGGCTAATTATTTGGTCTACGATGAACTCGGCGAGTGACTTTAAACACTGCCGAAAAAGGAAGAACCTTTTCAAAAATGTCGGCCTTATTGGTATCCACCTACCTTGCATTGCACTTCGCTGTACTGTCGAGTATCTTATCCCGTAATCCATTAATCGATTACATTTGGGGAACTTGTATCTGACATTGGTCTCGTTTCCATCACTCACTGATCTCAACTAACACAATCATCCGGCCCACCTAGCACATTCCTAATTTACGGTAGTTCACATGTGTATTATATTGTCAATTACCCATGTATGTTATATATCAAGTGGTATAATGTCCCAGAATCCACTTATCATCAGTTCTTTAAACACCAAAATAATACTGCTTCAATTCACAGTGTGAAAGAAAAAACAGCTGCTGTGTCTTGTAATTTCTTTATTTTTTCTTAATATCATACATGCAGATCCTCCATAATTTCAACCACTAAATATATTCAAATTATAGTAACACAAGACTCAAAACGCTAGCTACCATATTATGATTGCAACTGGTCCTAGAGGGTGAAATGTTGATGTAAACAAATTCAACAATACATTCATCATCATCATCATCATCATCACGTGTCAAGCCAACAATACATTACATAACTTAATTGAATGAAAAAATATATACAACCAAAATTATGCCCTTTTTTAAACTAAGCATGAAGACAAAAAATTCAGTCTCCAAAGTCAGGAATGTCACTATATGAATATCCCTGATATCCCTGGTAGGCATAAAACGCTAGCCTGACATGGTAAGATCCAGGTATAAACATGAGCAGTCCCAGGATTAGAACAGGCCATGTTCTATCTGCATACTGAAAAAATGAGACAGAAACTTCATAATTTGGTGTCATTTTTACTATTTTCTTACATAAATATATGATAAAGGGCCATGAAGGCTTTTCAAATAAATGATTATTTTTGCAAATTCTGCCCTGTCACTAGGCAACAATTCCTCAATCAATTGATTAGTCTATCAAAAACTATTGAAAATGACTATCATAGCATCTGGTGTTTTAATTGCCAAAGTTACCTTTACCTTCTGATCAATTAAAGTTCCACTTAGAAGTAATGCACCAATGGTTAAAAGAATACTCCCCACTACAAAGAGCACAACAGCAAGACTAATGGCTTTCCATGGAACTTTGGGAGGGGGTCTCACAAACTGGAATAAAAGATAAAAATATTAACTTGCAGCCACTTGGAGAATTCATCATAAAACAGTAGCTAGAAAATATCATTGCAGCAATTTTGACTAAGCACAGGTATGGTTCACAAACCTCTGCAGTCAGAATATTCATGGTATGTTATGTATTAATTCTACAATTAAACAGGGATGAGAATGCCATTTAGAGAAAAAGTCAGAAATTATGGCATGGAGCTTAGTAAATCACCTTGGCAAATGATATTCTTTGCCCCAAAAAGTCAGAAATTTGCTGATAGTTGTAAAAAAACACATCACAAATAAAGGTGGGGTAAAAACCTTTGGTTCAGTGTATCTAATAGGGTGTTGGCCATATTAATTCAGTCTAATATTTCAATATTAAACATTCCTCTTAACAGGGGAATAATTAGAGATAAGACAAATTCCTGACTGAACTGCTACCCTGAAGAAGTGAGAAAAATTCTGCGTTTTCAATTTGTAAATAAAACATCTTTAAGTAAAAGCTGGTTTAAAATAACTGGGGATATGTCCAGCACTCGTGTAAAATACCCTCTTCCCAAAGAAAAATATTGTATGTCCATGTTTCCATTTAATAACATTAAGACTGAAGAGTGATATGCAAGTCTTCGATTACCTGCAAGTCTATAAAGCCATCATCTGAGCTCTTTGTCAACCTGTGGTACTGTGCTGACGAATTATTTACAACCATCCGCGTAGGCATCTTTTCACAGAAAGGCTAAAATAATCTGAAACATATGAATGCATAAGCAATCTATTGAATAATTAAAGAAATATACCAACAGCCAATAATATGTTTCAGCTAAACATATTTGAAAAAGACTGTGCATATAAACAGACATACTTTTTTCATATTAAGTACAACAGTTACATGTATGATGTAGCCTAGCTACAATTTTAGTTACTCTCCCAATATAAACAGTCTCGAATAAGTTTCACTTTCAGTAAAACATCTCAGTAATAACACTGAAGCCCAAAACTAATTCCAGATCTAGTTAGTCTTAAATGCAACAGATTCCATGGCCTGTTGATGGTATATTATTTAAGAATGCTATCAAGAATTTATTAAAATTCAGTTCCTTTAGGGGGAATAAATTGAAGCCTTGAATATTTAACAGAGGCTGAATAAATAAACGAGATATCAATACGGATGCAAACAGGTTGCGTTACCTTAATCATATATGGGATCATCTCAGTGTAAAAATGAATTTACTCTAACCTTTCATTCAATACTGTTAGACCTATGCACATTTAGAGAGAACTAAGGAAAACATTTTCATCGACTTCCTTGCTTCACCTGCTGGCTAAAATGATTTTTATTTACATCCGGTGTCACTGCATTCAAGACAGGCTAATCCAATGTGTTAGCGATGTATTGAACATTGGTAATTTCATTCGTCCTTTTTAGAGAGAATTGTACTTGAGATGTGTTTTCCAGATATAAATAATGACAAAATTTGTTCGCACACTTTGCTGATAACTTGCACGTGAACACGTCAGAAATAACGCCATTGCTGTAGAGAAGACTAATAGCGCATCTGAGACGTCAAAACACAAGCAGCCTCAGAAAAAACATGGACATAATAATTATGTCCATGGAAAAAAGAACCATCAACATGTTATTAAACTATTACCACACACATATTGTTCCCGAGGAATAAGTAATAGGATCAATAAGTGGGACAATATAACAAATAATCGATTGTGCTCAAATGAAAATCATGAAATCAAATCGAACATAACAAACGTTTTCTTGATGCATATTCACCTCATCATAGGCCTACAGTAGACCCCTACCTATAACACTCATACCGTTTATTTGGTCAGCGCGTCTTTCTCCATTTTAGTTGGATCATAGTTTTGATAAATCATTATAACACCCTATTTTATGTAAAGGTTATATCAAGAAATTGGCTGCGCGAAATTGCAGCTCAACCTGGTACATATACTTGATCTTTTTAATCTATATTCACTGACTGGCGTGCAGTGTTCACCGTTCCAAAACTAAATGCAGACTCTGAGCGTTAGAACTTTATATATGGAAAAAAATTAATTTCCTGGAAATTCCAATGCTTTTGTTATTTATGACTAATATATAATATAAACATCCGTGAACTTTTTGGGGGTTCTGGGTTTTTAGGCCTATATTTGATTAATAGAGTTTATTAATAGCTCGTATTTTTTACATTTTTTTGGAAGCATAAATTTCAAGGAAAAAAAATAAAACACTAGCACGCACTGAACGCCTTAAAACTGAATAGAGAATGTTTCTATGCCGAAACTGAAAAACTTGCAGCAGTTAGCCTAATTTTTTAATTTCTTGAAATTTATCAAGATCTACCCTTTGAAAATACAAATAAATATTTTGTACGAGAATCATCAATGTTCTATATATAACCTTTGAATAAATAAATTAGATGCGAGATCTCTAAAAGATCAATACCATGACACAGGAAACCAGTCCTTTGCCGCTCTTTTCATAAAACACTACATAATAGATGTTTAGTTCCGAATTGCAGAAAAAGGATCTCTGCAGGGATGAAATGTTATTGAATTAATCAGTTAAGATATATTCTTATACTTAAGATTAATAATACTCAGGAATTAGTATTGATATCTTCGCGTTGTGGAAGTACACTAAAGTCGTTACTGGATCTATTTTAAAATAAACGAACGGTAAAATCCTTTAACATCAGTCAGTTACAAGTGAATCCTGGCCAATGACCCCATAAGAAGCTTCTTTATCAGAAAATAACTTTAGATTAACGGCCACAAATTAAGTTTCAGGATTGGCTTGTGATAAAGTGAGGCCAGGGAACAAAGATCAACGCGAACTCTTATCCTCACATAAATTGTTAATGGTAATGGGGGCAAAACATCAGATTTCAAATCCAGAGAAAGTATCCGTGTAATGGCGATCTCCAGTGAGTTATGTTAGCAGCGACAATTTCAAAGGTAAAGGGGACAAATTGTTGGTGCAAAATAATGGATTCTGATATTTTTGTCAAGTGCCTAACCAGAGCTACAGGTGTGCCAGCGTCTTCTTTTTCATATCTCCCTGTGTGTGCACACGTTTGGAAATTGTTTGTGTCGTTTCTGAATCCCGGGCTAGCAAGTGCCCTTCCTACATTCATCTCTTTCCTTTATCTAAAACAATGAACCCAAACGCGTTTTCTGGAAAGATTCACTTTTGTTTGGTCTGAGCAAAATTCAATGCCGTCATCTGCAGTTAGGACTCTGTGCGATCTCTTTTTTTTTTATTTTTAACAGCTAATATATATTATTGGTTATTCAAATCCTTTAGTGTCGATCAATCCAAAGTTCGTTTTTAGAGATAAATACTAAGTAAAAGAATGTTTCAGTATTCAGTGATTTTAGACTTAGTACATTCGCTCTACAAATAGCATGGCAAAATATATTAATCTTCTCTACAGAAACCAAATACTGCAGCCGATGTATAATGAATTATGAATACGGGCAGCTCTACAATAGTAGATTATATGAGTCACTTGCACGCCATATTTGTTCAATTTTTATGATAAAATATGCTTTATGATTATTGCATGTGTGAAATTATGTAATTTAGCACGTGTTGAAACCTTGTATATCTATAATTTCAAGGTCTGTAAAACATTTATTTCCATTTGTTTACTAAATTGTATATAAGCCGACAAAGGTTGAAAAATCTTGCATGGAAGTGGAGCAAAAATAGAGATCACTTTAATCCTGAATTTTTAAAATTATTGGACGTGTTATGACAGTGTTTGGCAGATGTGGAGCAAATGATACAAACATGTTTTCATTTTTGTAAAAATATTAAGATATATATAAATTGTTGTGTTATTGACTTGTATAGATAATAGCTGATAAATATATATATATATATATATATATATATATATATATATATATATATATATATATATTTTTTTTTTTTGGGGGGGGGGGTAATAATTTAAAAGGAAAGAAAATGAATTAACAACCATTTTGAAAACAAAGGTCATTCGAAAAGTGAAGAATTTTCTGGTGATTCTTAACCAACACATCTTTAAACTATATAAATTTGAAGTATGTCAAACAGCTCCAATATTAACAAATGATATCTGTCCTTTATTGTTTGCCACTTCTTATTTTTACAACATTTTCTGTCAAAACAGTATTGCCCTGATCTTCTGATCATACACAGATATTTGACTGATTGCCTCTGCATTGCAGGGCGTACTAAAAGCAGTTGCTATACAAACATGACATTTGAACATTTCACTAACTTGTTGTTATACAGCTATATTATTATAACATTCTCACAACAAAAGAGCACACTTTTCTATAATACATGGTTAAATACATATTTCCTATCTAGGTACGTAGTGTATGAATTAGAGCTTTCACCGTTACACTGTAACAGGTGGCTTTACATAACATTTATTGAAATTCAGACTATAAGATATACAAACCCCACTAATTTACAAAGTAGTTATATGAAAACTATTAATCTCTCACTGGATACCATCCACTGTTTTGCCAAAAAGCAGTAGTAAAAATTTTGTTGTGTGCAACTTGGTTCTCAGTTCATGGTAACAGACAGGCCTGCTAGGGAAACAATATCTGCAGATGAAGTCCTGATCATATTTACTTTCACTGGATCCAGGGCCACAGGTCCTCTCCTTGTGAAGTCCCCCACCCAGGTACCAGTTACTAACTACAATACAATGCAATCTGCAGGTGTAGCACCAAGCCAAAGCTACTGGTTAGAATGGCTTTGCTGTTTACCAAGTCTGCCTACAGCCACTTTCTTTTTTACAAAAAATAGGGTTACACTGTTTGAGAGAAATGGTGAATTCCTGCCCCTTTAGAAAACTGACCTGGTGATTTGGTATGGATAGATACTCACAACCCCATCAAGACATGTGGAGCATAGATTGGTTACAAATATTTAAAATTAGATTATGTGCACTATGTTCATATCAATATATTCTTTACGACCATACTTTACTTCTCAACTCTCAAATAAAAACAACAGCAACAGAATGTCTCGTAAAATGAAAGTGTGGAAGAATTGTCTACATAAAAGCAGCACCTGAATTTAAAAACCTTAGCAAAATAAAACAGTGCCCATTTAAAATGGCATATTATTCAAGACTGTTACAGACTCTTATCTCTACATTTTAAATATCAAATTCAATTTTTAAAGTAATAATAGAGTTATATTTAAGCTGAAAACCAAAGTTACGCTATTGGAATCATGAGTTGCCTTTGATAAACAAGAAATCATACTCAAGTGCACAGTTTACAAATAAAGTACGACAGTCTTTTTTTTTTTTACAAATAAGGTATCATAGACAGCTTTTTAAATATCAAACATTGCTTCCTGTGTGTAAAATAAAATCTAACATTCACCCCCATGTAGTTTATTTAGCAGTATCTGTGGTTACAAGCTGCACACAGACCAGTCATCTACAACTGTCCTGTGCATTATCTACTACTGTAAAAATGACCCGTGTTCTCTAGTACTACACAGCAGGATGTACAAAAGGCATATCGCTATTCAATACCCCAGGTGCATGTGATGAGAATTGATAAGAGACCTGTCAGTGTTATTCAATTACTCTAATCAGCAGCAAGAACATTGATCTGTTTTTTCCTACCGTTGCTGCATCCAGGCAGCACACCAAAAGTGCTTGGCTAATACTGCCTATGGCGTGTGCATCTGCCGCTAACATACAGCTGAGAGGAAGTGGCTAGAGAACAGCAAAGCAGTACAGTTTTAACATTGATTTGCTACATGTAGAGGTATATATAGTTCGATATATATCTATACATTACTCATTATATTTACATGTGAATTACCCTAACCCCGATTTCTTTTTTTTTTTTTTCAACTTTAAAAAAATCAACGTTGTAGTTTTCCTGGTGGGCATCTGGGGATATTATTTGTAAGTTACCTTTGCGGTCTCTGATCTAAATATTTCCACATGTACTATGCAGTCAAAAGATCAACACATGCAAAAACAACAGCATGTTACCAATCCCTTCAACTGAAGAAACTTCCTCCAAATTTTGAAGCAGAAATGGAAATCAAGTTTTAAAATGGCACCTCATCTTATTGGGATAATCCTCCCCATGAAGAAGCTGCACTACAAAATTGGCAGATATCACAAAATTTTTCAATCTTATGCATGTTAGTTATGTATACAAAAATTTCATCCAGATCCTAAATTTAAATCTTCACAGACTTGGGTGAATTTAGCCAAGGTCCACCATGCTGTGCAGAATGCTGTCTTTATACCCATGCCTCACTCTCATTTCATCTGAATAAATATTGAATTGCATTATGTTTGTCTGTCTTCATTAAAGCTGTCGCGAAGTCCAATATAAGTGCTGAAACCCCTCCTGATTCCATCGACCGCCATGAGTGTACAACCAGTCAGTGTGCTATGTACAGTGGTCACTTCGTGGCTGCTGGGGTCACTGGTCACTTTACTGGGCCTGTTGATATCCTGTCTGATAGCCTGGAAATAATCACACAACAACCATGAAAAAGGATTCTTAATAATAAAATATCAAATGCAAAGCATGTCTATTAACAAAGACTAGCACGGTCCAATTAAATCTTAACTTAAAAGCTACTTGTTTGCTTCTGTTTCGTAAGTTGTTCTGGAATTGCATGTTTTAACAAAAAATACCCAATAATACTTAGGTTTGAGATTCATTGGCAAAGCAGACATGTCCGCATAAATAATGATAATAATAAAATATTGAAATTACAGCATGAAAAAAGTAAAGATATTGCTACATATTGCTGCCTGATGGTGTCAAGTTCTATGTACTATTTAAAATACACAATAACATATAAAAAAGAGAAAAAAGAAAAAAGTTTATATAATGAAAAAATGGGAATAAATATTATGTGGTCTTACCTTAGCAGTATTAACCTTACACATTTTAGGAAATACTTCCTAGAACCTATTTACTGACTGAGAGTGACTTTTTCTTTTTAGTCAAATTTATATGGCTCAAAAATCTAATGTAAGCACTATCATTAGCCTACAACACTCACCTACACAAAGTCTTTGTCTTTATTGATCTGGGTAAAATGAACAAAAGAAAAAATGTCAATAGCTGTACCTCCATGGCTGATTACGATTAGTAGCAGCTCCTAGTCTATTATGCTTTGCTAATAGTAGGTGAATAACTGACAAAAAGCCTACCTTTGACCTAGGTGGTTATGGGATGCATTGTAAGGAATGTTAAGGAGTCAAAATTCATAAAGAAAAAGAAGATAAAACTAAGTGAAATGACAAAAGTTACCTTCTCTTTCGGCTGTTAGGTTCTCAAAACATAGGCTCAAAATGTGAAAGAAGTAAATTCATCAATTTTGTATGGTTAGTTGTCTGTTTTTCATCATTTTTTTAAATAGAAAAATAGTTACCTATATGATAGGTATCCAGAGCTCAACTAAATTTACAACAGAAAAAATGGAATGCAACTTTAGTAAAATGATGATTAGTAGGCTAATATAGAAACATGCATCAAACAGAGATGATCTAATAACAGAGTGATACTGCAGATGAACATCCAAATGACCAAGTGTAAAACATGCTGATAATTGCTCTAATGAGAATAATAAAACGTAGCTCGCAAACAGCTGTTGAATTAAACACTTTTCTGTCCGACTTCGTATATAGAGCAATTTAGCTTCCTACCCATTCACCACAGACATTTTAGAAGTGTATACAGTTTTTCCCTTTTCAAGAATGGCAATTCTAAGAGGATCCCTTAGTCATGTCACTGTTTTTAATAATACATTTGTCTAATTTTATTTCAAAGATTAATGAACCTATATCATCCACTTTTATCTTGTGTAAAATATTCAGTGATGGTAAAGATGGAGTCTGACTCTTGAACAATAAGACATTTTGACAAAATATCAGTTTTTCTTAATCCTTTGATTGAAATTTGAAATCAATTTAGAATCAAGCTTGGAAAAATGTTGCTTGCACAGCAAAGCTATAATTTAAAGCTCAGTGAAATCAAATATAAACTCGCGTTATGGAAAACAGTGGCTTGGCATTGGTTAGACATTGATAGTGCTTGTAAAAAAATCCTATTAGCATAAGCAAGGTCAGTAATTTTTTCTTTCTAATTCTTCTAAGTATAGGTATGGTCAGCATAGAGGTTAGGTATTAGTCAATTAAGTTAGGCTTCAGACGCTGCTGCTTTGCTTGGCTTCAAACTGATCTATATGCTGGCAGAAAACATATTACTTAGAGCAATAGCTCTCTATGTGAACATGAAACATGCGTTAACTCTTGAAAGAGATCAATGAATTTGCTGTTATACATCATTTTAGCAACAAACTGTTTTATCAGGATTGCATGCATGACTTCAACATTAAAACCTTCTGGGTTTGCTGAGAGATAGAGCATTTGCCAATTCTCAATCTGATAATATACACTTTGATACTCGAGTGCCCCCCCCCCCCCCTCCCCCCAACTCATTGATAACACTATCGTACCAACAGATACAGTGATTCAAGCAAAGCAACAGCAATTCAATTAAGATACTTCAGGGTGTGGACAAAATGTAGAAATATTAACAGATCTTTGAACATTTCGTCAACATATCAAATTATTATCAAACTGTAAAACAACTTTCAAACTAATTTAAAAACCAGGTTTGCATGTTTCTTTCTTTAAAAGCTTACTTGGCTAGGCTCTATGGTAAAAAGCATGAATTCAAAGCTAGGTGCACCTAAATCTATGTCAAGGTCTTTATCTCAAGTATGTTAGGTGTCTAAAATATGTACTATTCAAAGTAGAAATTTGTATTATGCCACACATCTTTTTCTAAAACTCACTGCTATACAGTAAAATTTTGAGTGAAAAACATTAAACATCAAGAATTTGATACTTTTCAATAATTTCAACGCATAATCATAGATTACATATTTTATCTTAGGGACCTTAGAATATACAATGATCAAAATGTGGAATGCTCAGTAAAGCAAAGAGCAAAACTTGCATATCATGCTGCTTATCAAGAAAATTTGAAAAAAAAAAAAAAAAAAAAAGCAACGTGAAAGGCTGAATCACTTGAAAATAAACTTTGAAACTTATTGTAGAGATACTCTGTGGAAGCATAATCATGGTCAATACATAGATGTATTAAAGGCAACTGCTTCAACATGTCCAAGTAAAACTGGTTACTTTTACACAACTGCAATTACAACCCCAGTAATACAATTTGAAAAATTCTTTTTTTTCCATTAATCCCACACTCTGTCCAACTTTGAAATACTGCCATTTCAGTTTCTAGGGGTCCTGCCTTTTCAGATTCTAGGGATAAGACATATTGACCATGATGTAGCTGATATTTCTGACCAGTGTAGGCAGTACACTATGCTTACCTTGCTGCATAGGGTAACCCCCCATCCCCATCATCTGCTGTTGTCCATTATACTGCTGACCACCAGGTGCCCCGCCCATTGGCATCTGGCCATAGCTTCCCTGGACACACCCTTGCATCCTACAATAAATACAATATATTACATTGTATCTTATACACCAGCATGTACTGGTGAAAATGTACATATGGATATAATGTGGTATTAGATTACAATTCAAAACAATAAACTATGACGTGATAACTTTAAAATAAACCATAAAATTAGGAATGATCTTGTGTATTCAACTTTTCTTTATGAACAATAAGTAAATAAAATATATATAATAAAAATTTTATTTACACAATGTCATGCAATTCCGGAAAAGGTTGAAAGATATTTATTAATGTCAATTTTAGAAAACTTTTTTTAAATTGATAAATATATCATGGGAGTCACCTGCTAGGAGCATATAAAGTATCTTGAAAATTATGATGTGATTATAATACTGCAGGCCATATATTGTGTTTGTGCTATGGAAACCACTTTTACGTGACATCCCGTGAAAAGATGCATTAATAATTAATATCCCATTACTAAATACAAAATAATTCAAAACCAGCATCATTTGCCATGCAGAAATTCCCTTTTTTATGCTATTTTCACCTTCATGCCCTTAACAATACAGAATTCTAATGCAGCACCCAATACAAATCACGAGTTCATATTCTAAACTGCCAGCTGTCACTAAGTATACTAAGACTGGGTTCTCATACCTAGATCGATCCAACAGGATCGGCCCATCTCCAAGGGGTTTCTCGCTAAATTGACTTTCAGCTTAAGTGGCTTAGATGTCTGGCACTACTACTGAAGCTGCTAAACGATAATTAATTATCCCCAACAGCTTCAGCAGGCATGACAGACATCTAAGCCGCTTAAAATGATAGCAATTTAGCGAGAATCCCCTTGAAGATAGATCGATCCACAGTTAGTACGATAGGCTCTAGGAATGGTCCCTAACACAAGCCTCCCCTCATACACAGAAACAGGACAACACATCTATAAAACATACCCATAATTTCCATACCCATATCCATATTGTGCATTCTGCATGTAATTGCCAGGCATCTGACTGTACTGCTGTGGATAGCCCATGTAGTAGCCCATCTGGTTGTAGTAGTTCCCAAACCCCTGACCCCCAGGACCTCCAGCAGGGGCATTGGCATACTGAGAACACATTTGAAATATTAGTGACATAATAGTGATTTACAATACATAGGCTACATCAAGATGACACAATTCTATTATTATCAAATGTAAAAATACTGTAGTCTAAAGTTTCATTAAATTAGTCGATTAAACAGAAAGCCGTGTGTGATTTATTGAAATAAATTTTAAGACCAGAGAGCGATTAGCGGACTTGCTAACTTGGGCTTCATAAATTTGATAGTTTTTCTTGTTAACCTCCAGCAGAAAAATGACTAGAAATGATCATTTATGCCATTCCCAGGGCCCAGATTGTGGAGTTTTCCCCCTGGGGTTGTTTACCTGTTGTGAGGCTGCTGGGTTTGGCCCTTCATTGGACTCTTTCCCCCAGGAGCACTTCACTTGACACCCGTTAACATCCGTCCCATGCACTGACACTATGGCATTGGTTGCAGCTTCTTTATTATTATACCTGTAGTATAAAAAAATAAGAAAAAAAAATAAAAAGAAAAAAGAATCAGAAAAAATTTAAAGCATATAGAAAATGTTTTCTTTTTCACTTGTGATTTTAAGTCATTTCAGGAATTATTCAATATAATTAAGAAGTTATCAATATTACTTACCTTATGAAAGCATAACCTTTATCTTTGAATATCCTAATTTCTTCTATTTGACCAAATTGAATAAAATGTTGTTGAACTAATTCCTCTGAAAAATGTGAAAAACAAAGCTTTTAAATTAAGTGTACAAGTGTAACATGACATAAATAACAAAACTTCCTATCAAAAATTCAGTTGAAAGTGAATGTTCGCACTAAAATCAATCTTTGAAATTCTCACTGAGAAGATGGTACTTACGTGAGAGACCATTGTTGATGCCACCACAGTAGACTGTACAGTTAGTAGGACTGGACTGGTTATATACCTCATCATAACTTAACTTTTGGACAGCTGGCAAAAGGAAAATATATAAGCATTGTTTTATACATGCAGAAGTAATTCACAGGTATTCTTTTATATAAGATCTTGATGTTAGAATTAAGATGGCTCTTTAAACATTCTTGAGAGATGAATACTGAAAAATATGCTATCAAATTATCACCAAGAATATGCAAGAAATTATACTAAATACTCTATTCTTGTACAATGTGTTATGGAAAAAAAAAAAGCTATACAAAGTCCAGAAAGAAGCAAAGATATAATTGTAAAAGTTCTCCTATTTGAATTGGCATAAAAAGACTGAACCATGCAAATATATAAATGCACCAACTCATGCAATATAAATGATTAATTCAAAATTACAAATAAGATATCTTCAAGTACAAATACATTACGTCCAAAATTACAGATTGAAAACATGAAAGCAAAAATGGAAGATTTGCCACATAAACCCAGTGCAGAGTGAACTTGGCTAACATCAGGAATGCTGGGCATGGTTATTAAAAACCAAGGAATTCAGCATATCCAAATACACCAAGATATTACAAAAGCACTTAAAATAGACGCCACAGCTATTATCTGGGTCAAACTGGCTAAAAAAACATATTGCCAATTTGGCATCATTTTTTGTTGAATAATTATTTTGTCCAACCAGCATAGGTCGTATACTGGAGAAAAACAAATATGACAGAGTGAGCTTAAATTATACTGAAATGCACACTTAAAATGTAAAATAAAAATAAACGTAACCAACAATAAACAAAACATGCACATGATCTCTATTTCATACACCTCTAATAATAATTAAAAAACACAAAAAAGATATATATATATATATAAATCCATTTTCTGTGAAAGCCAAGCTTAGATGCAGAATTAGGACATAAGCCACATGTGAATGAGACATTGTCCAAAAAGTTTTCCAATGAGGTGCTTACGTGGTATCTTGAAATAGACTCCATGGGATGTCAAGTCGACATTCAAAAAATTTCCCCAAGGTTTCTCTTTTTTTCTTTTCTTTTTTTTCTACATTTAGCATATGTAATCTAAAAAAGTGGCAATTGGCTTGTGTACTTAGGGAACCTAAAGTAAGTACTCAGCTGACATAAAATTTTGAGAAATTACCCCCATACATTAAATATGAAGGAAGATATCGATTCTTAATGCATCTTTTTCATGTTAATCAAACCAGTTTAGTGCAAGTAGTCAAAAGGCAAATTGACCTCCTTTGACATTTCTCCCCCTTCCAAACAGTTTTGGTCAATTTACCATCACAAAATGATCCCATCACTGTCTTCCAGTCAACTTATAAATATCCATACGCACGACTACAAACGCGTGTCAATGTCCCCGCTGGATTTACAAGCAAGCCATATTTCCACTTAAGTCCCCAAACACTTCCTTTTGGGTCTTTTCTATCAATATTTCACTTTATCATTTTCCCCAACTTTCCAATTCTTTTTAAGTTGTTCTTGTACTGTGTTTGAAAATAATTTCTTGTATTGGGGTTTTTTTTTTTTTTTTTTTTTGAACTTGGGAAAATTTTTGTCATGCTTGTAAAGGAGAAGTAAAAGTGAAATATACCGCTCATTGGATGTGGGGTTCTACCTTCTTTTTGTGGAGGAGCTGGTGGTTTTCGTGTGGCCCAGTTTGTCCTAATAGGCCTGCTTCCGATCCATTGCCCATTCATTCCTTTTATAGCATTCTCTGCATCCTGGAGAGAGAGAAACATTCAAAATAAACACTAACCAAATGTTGTGTGTGCATGTGTGTGTGTGTGTGTGTGGGTGTGTGTGTGTGTGTGGGGGGGGTGGGGTGTCCAGGTGAGCCTGTAAAGTATGACTCAAAATACTGGTATAATTTTGACTACCTGGGAAGTATTCCAGACTTGTCAGCCAGTCACCCTTCCTTACACTAACCAACCTCTCCTGTTTTTAATAATTTCTCACAAAATCCAACAGCTTTTGTAATTTTTTATGGCACATTAAATAAAAGAAGAAAATCAGCAAAACATTATTTTCTGTAAAAAATTTACACAAACACCATTTCTTGTGACTGTCGACTCCACCTATATCAAGGACATGACACATTCAACAAATAATGAATTTTCCCGCAAAATCTTTCTGAGCAGAAAACCGACTTTCACCTGAGCTCATCTTTAATGTACAAACCTTTCCTAAACACACTCAGATCAATCACATTGTCTGGCAGGTCATCAGATTATATACAGTGACATAAAAATAGGAAGCACATAGAAGCCGTATATGCCAGCATTCTAATCAACTTGAGTGTTTTACTCATTATTCACAGAAAATACAATAATTGCTCGATCTTTTCAATTGGGGAAAATTGTGAACTTTATAAATACTGTATCTTTTAAGTATGAATTTCTTAAAAGTAGATCATTCCTATTGATTGGAAGCAACAAAATTAAATGCATAGTTCTATTCTATGCTGTAACAGCACCACAAAATTAATGCTTTATAGATATATAATTTTTTGATTATGAAATAATGTATCTGAAAGTTTAATATTTTTTGCCAATTGACAAGATCCAGCCATTACCGTATAGAGACAGAGCCTTGATGGTGCACATTATAGTTACTGTGTTCAATGCCATAGCACATAAGGGCATTATCAGTAATGACATGTTATATGAAACACAATTTCTAAGACGCCCTGATACCATGGCCCGCAGGACAAACACTGTATATTAGATATATCAAACTTTAATAATTACTCACCACTTTCCTGACAAACGAGACAAAGCCATATCCTTTTGATTTTAACGTCTGTGGATCACGGATAATTTTGCAATCTCTGGAAAGAAAAATGATTAGAATGGAGACAACAGCAATACTTACAAAAACTGTTCTGGTTTTGAGACAATTTAGTAGACGGAGGGATGAATATAAAGTAACAGGATGTAAAAAGAGGTTAGGATATAAGGAAGGAGATCAAGAAGTTAAACACAATATTTCAGGTCTAATTACTAGTACAAGTATGTAGATATCTATACGCATCTATATTTATATTTAAATACATACACATAAATCTATATACATATAACTTAGCCTTGCAATTAAAAAAGATGATCATTTATGAAATGTACTGCATATTTACTCAGGCAATAATATGACAATGAAAAAACAGCCATTTTAACACCTCTAATATCGAATTTTGCTAGACATTATTTGCCACATATTGTTCGCGAGGGTTTTCAAATATCTCTCACAAATATGACTGGCTGTTGTTCACACTTGATTAACTGCCTCCGCACTTTCTTCCTGGACTGACTGCTAATTAACTTTAACGCTATAATGGTCAGAACATTATTTCTCTCTGATTAAATTAATTTACAGGTGACAAGGTATTCTTACTCAGGAAATAACTTTTCTCGCTATAATATCCCATTACTGGATGCTATATTGGATCAAGTTAACAATGGGTGCTGCACATCAGTCATTTATCCACACATCTCTAATACCAAATTTTATATAAGGGTTAATGGCATTCAAAAGTCAAAGATCCTCCAAAATCGGCAAGCATATGTGCAGTACAGAAGAAAACAAATATGGCAGAGTTCAAAGTTCGCACAGGCAGACAAATAAATGAACGTTTCAAGTTGGTTGGGATAGGAATTCATTGTACGTGTAGATTATAGTAATAATACAGGAGACAACATCATTTGCAATGTATCTCCTGGTTTTCGTAAAACTAATCACTTTTCAGCTGCATTTACAAACATATTTTCCTTGGAGACAGGTTGCTTTGAGATAATTCAGAATGGTTTACTTATGAATTTGCATGCCTTCCATAATGTGGCTCAGAATTTAATCATCATATCATCTAGAGTGCTTTCAAAGAAACACCATCACCTCTTTAACAAAGAAAGCCACTGCACCATTAGGAAAAAATCATTATATTTCTGATGGATATTGTAATGGCTATCAATACCAAACAGAAAAACAAGCAAAGCCTTTTCTGCGCATTACTTTGTAGTTAATTTTTGAAAACATTATTTATTTAACAGATGCACTTCCCCAGGCTTCCCTAACAAAACACAGCTTATTCTGTGTAACCTAATACTCATCGATTCCTTGGTTCAAGGATGGGATCTTTTCTCCCGACTTCCGAGGATCTAGTGAAGCACAGTTCTGAGCTGGATGAGCCGGACCGAGCAGGTGCTCAGCCAGGTGAAATAATGTCAATTCATCTAACGCTAATCAACACACAATTCAAGGGGTCGGGGTTGCCAGTCTCATTACAACTTACAATGTCGAAATGCCCAATGGGATTGCAAATGAACCAAATACATCTTTTGTGCTGACACAGTGAAGAGATATTACTTAGCAAACAACCTGTAACGTACACTTGATAGGATAATCAACAGTTTAGCATTTTTGGAGAAATTGATTTTTCCAGCAAATTATATGGCTTGTAAATATTGTATGTATCAAAATTCTGCACATTTATAACAGCTGGTAGTAGATAAATGTTACTTCAGTCTAGATTCATAGAGCAAAGTGGCAGTTAAACCCTTCAATACACATAGCAACAAAGCTTTCATCATTTTAAGTAATGGGTTTTTAGATCTAGTGATCATCAGCATTTCTTATAAAATATTTCTCACAACGACAGATACCAAATTCAGATGATAAATTGAGTTTTGCATACTCGAAACAGATTGCTTTATATTCAGTTATGAACATCCGTCAAGCGGTAACAATGTAAAATGCGTCATTTAACTTGTTGATTGTAGTCATCATCTGTATACACTTCACTACTTGCATTAATCAATCTTGTATGTTCTGCTACATTTTCCATCCACAAAATTTGTAAAGAGATATTCCAATCTTTGCAGTATTATGTATGTAAAGGAGGATGTTGAAAATTCAGTAAGTGTTAGTGACATTCACCTCGTTCTTTTCTGAATTATCTGTGCATTGAAGGGTATCCAGACATGATTTTGGGTTAGAAGAAAAAAGTAGGAAGAAATGGCTCAGTGGTCTTATGACTGGGATTCTGCAGGCTGCTTAGGGCAGAAATCCGCAAAAAAAAAAAAAAAAAAAAAAAAGACAGATTTCTGAAATAAATCNATGACGAGTGAACAGTTGTCAAAAACAAAAGACCCAGGTGTGGTAGTTCAACTACTGTTGATGCGTGCCGCAACGACCAAACCTAATTGCTCCTCAAGGTCACAAAACAATAGGCTCGTCTTAATCATATGAGTAGCGCGTTTCCACCCCCTGATTGAGGGAGTCGTCTGTTGTATTCATACGACTCCTACTTGACGAAAACGAGGCGCGATACCCGGATGACAGGTAGGCTTACAGAATTTGTGATAGGGTATGATACTCTTTTATGCGATCTGACACACACCTTGAAAACGGGTAGTGTGGTCAGATATACCGGTTTATTCTGGACCCGTAGGTGCCGAGTCTGGTAGTTGGGAAGGCCTGTTGGGTTATGGTTCACAATTGACTGAGGTTAAACAATAACTACTAGTAGTACCATTACAATACCAAACATGAGAGGAAAAATCAACAAAACAAGCGTTGAAGTTGAACCAGAGACATAGCACAATTATACATGTGTCATATCTATATTACAATTCAAAACATGGCATTAGCCCATGGCCTGGTAGATATGGTGTGCAGCTTATAACATGTGGTGAATTGCATCATGCTTCTTAAAATTTTCTGAATCTCTGGTTCGACTTCTGACTACAATGCCAAAGCTTAAAGTATCTCATAATAGGTAAAATATCTTCTTATAATATCAAACTTCTAGATAAAAATAAGATTATCCAGGAAGCTTTAATTCAACTGAAAAATCACTAATCTTTCTATTATATTTATGCACATTTTAGCAGTAAAAATGGATAATATGCTATTTGAAAGCAACCATGTTCAAGCCAAATGGCGAGAGAAAAAACCTTCACCCATCGTAAAAACAGTCCCAATGAAAATTGAGGAAAATGAAAACAATCAGGGAAAGAGTGTTAAGTTGAAAGAATAAACTGACAAATATAGCAAAAAATATCAAAAAGAAGTTTTGAAAAAAAAGACATACATTTTCCTGTTAAAACACTCGGTAACAGAGCCCTTTAATACATTGATTGGGTCCTATAGCTCTGTAGTAAATAAAAACAAGAAAAAAACAAGATTAAACATCTCAAAGTTGCCTTTAGCTTTATGTTGTTTCTTCACATCTGTTGGAGTAATGGCCAGCAGCTGAACTTAATACACAATTAATCAAAGAGATGAAGAGTCATTTGTATCTCCTACCTTTCTCTATACTGTTACAAGTTAATTTTGTTCCCAAGAATAGACAGCAACAACTGGTATGCCCCTGACAATAGGGCCACATTTGTTATGCATCAAATGCCTTAAGTCACTCATCAAATTTGCATTTCTTGGCATCTCAGCAGCAAATGGATTCCATGGAGACCAATATCTTCCATTCTACTTTGCCAAACAATTTAAAGCAAATGCGGTTATCATGGTGCTTTTTTTTCTAAACTGTCAGAGACAGTTACCTTCATAGGGCCATTATCGGTACTTGGTCAACAAGCTCTCATTCTTACTTAGAATTCTGAGGAAGTGAAAGTGACATGAGAATCTCCACGTCCACCTTGATCTCATGGGGCCTGCTAAACTGAGGCAGCCACCACAGATAAGTGCAACGAAGACTCGGTACTTTTCTGTTCATACTAATGAAGTTATGATGAATCTTTAATCTTTTATTATTTATTACTTATTATCATTTGCTGCAAGAAGGTATTTTTCTATTTCACAAAAATAATGGTAAGGAACAAGGAAAAAGATTTTTGGGCATTTTCAACTAGAGTACATTATTCAAGTTTTATAATTTCAACCACTACCATGTATACATTGTTTATCAACAATAAAAGTCAGCCAAAACACAAACAAAGTTTGTTTTTAAACTTTATTGATTAGTTTAACTTCAATACAACTTCAAAGTAACAGTTAAACATTAGCTTGTCGTGGAACACTACTGAGGGACGTCTAGCGGTCAAAAACATAAACAAACACGCGATCGGCTGGGTAAATTGGAATTTTATTTTTTATTTTAATATTCCATAAATGTCAGTGCTATTCAAGGATGTTATAACACAATATCTTGAAGGAGGTATGTTCTTTCCAAATTTTTGTTGTTTATGCTCTTATTTACCGAGTTTTAGTTGAGCTTGCCGACTTAAGTCTCCTCCCGAGGAGGCTTGACATCGTCGACTTACAGCTAAGAAAAAAACGACGTAAGCGACCTTTTAGATTTTTTGTGAAACGGGACTTAGTGACGTAACGACTTAATTACGTTGGTAACCAAGCCCTAAGTCAGGGAAACCGACTTAAGTTTTTTTGTGAAACGGGGGCCTGGTCTAAAAAAATCAAATTAACACCAAATAAAATAGGTATGCTTTCTCCCACTTCATGTTCACAATATTTAATAAGATTTTAGTATTTTATAATCAAACTATATCTTTCACTGGCAGAAACCACCCCTCTATGCCATACATCAGCAGTCTGTTGATGTTGATGTGTCCCTTCTACAACCCAACCCCTCTTTGAATACTGTTAGTGCAAAGTCAGGCACTGGTTTTTAAACATTTTATATATTATTTGCCTGACTTTATTCCCTAATACTGCTGCTTCTGACGTTCAAACATGAATAAATCAATATGAAGATGACCAATCTCTAATTTATATAGCCAGAACATTGTTTTTTCTCCCTCTTATTGTATTTTTCTGGATTGGGCATAAAAAAACCTCTTGCCCTTTACAATGACACCTTTTTTTGCACATTCATATGTTGACATTAGGGCATTGCCACAAAGTGCATGCTGAAAGTGATACACACTTTTCTTATCCAATCATTAAAAAAAAAAGAAAGAAAAACACTCAGAAATACTCAAAGATGGCCCTCTTCTCAAAAAGAAATAGACAAAAATTCCAATTTAACTTTTCAGGGACTGTTCATGGGTATGACCTATTTAAACCTAGCCTACTGTTTTCAATAATATATATAGTACAGATGTAAAGCTTGTAAAGCTAGGGCATGTCCAAAACCATCACATTCCATTGATTTTTTTTTCTTGAAAAAAGTGCATGCACAGACTGCAGGGTGCTGAATATTCAGAGGAAATGAATTGGCCACGTCATGTTACCCACTCAAATATTAGTTTTAGAACCTTCTGGATAACACACCCTTTTGATGTCAAATCTGTTCAATGATCTATATCCCACAGGCAGAAATTTAAGTTGCCACACACACACCCACATATATTTAAATGCAAGTTGTCATCAAAATTTGTTTCATCTCCCCTTCCCCTTGAAAAAAAGTTAATCAAATAATACAAGCTTATAACAGAATCACTAAGCAACATGTACTTGCATTCATAATGTGCTGTGACAGTTGCTGCACTTCTCATTCTCACATTATGAAGCAGCATGCAATGGGATTATTTCTCTACTCCCTGTGGGTTGTAGAGAGATACTACCACCTCTTTCACGGTAATTGAATAAATAAATAACCCTTTCCTGCTTAAGGGAAAGCTCTCCTTTCTTCATTTTGACGTCCCGGGAGAGCAGGGATGAGGCAGTGTTGGATTTAAGACGGAACCCCCGAGTCTCCACAAAATCAATTTTCCATGTCAAACTCTGATCATATATATCAGTTGTTCACAGGAAAGAATCGATATAATTTGCAAAACAACTGGAGGTCTAGTTTAAAACACAATCACGCAAAAATCAAATTTCATTGAGCTGTAATCAATTCTATTACTCAAAGTACACCAAGGAATACCTATTAGGGCTGCAGCCATGCTGTAAGCAAGAGACAGGGAATCAGAGGAGAAACAGGATACCTCTTAAGACAATTGATTCTAATTTATGTATATTGAAATTAGTAGAAATGTACCTCGGAGGGTTTGGGACTGGACCGTGTGTGACAAGCATGTGTTCTGGCGCATGCAACTGTCAAGTCACACTTTTCTTATTTCTCTGAGTGCTCCGTTACAATCAAACAAAAGAAAAGTAATTAATAATCTGCCTGAGTCCCTTAGTTCCCTGCAGGATCAAAGAATTTATTGAGAAGTTCTTGTGATATCATTATATCGCATTGATTAATAATGATTAAAAATTAATGACACATGATATGCAGTTTCAATATGATAAGTGACAGAAAGAACATAGGACTGTGTCACAATGCAAGTTATCGCTGCTGCTCATTTTTCATTGGGGAATAATAAGTAATACGGCAAGCTTAAGACTCGGTATTGGTAGCCTGGCTCTGCCTTGGAAGTCAAAGAGAACGGAACAATCTTTAACTGGTAATGACAGTTAATGATACTTCACATTCAAATTACACATTATCACAAGAGTGATAAAGTAGAGACAGGATCTTGATGATTTACTTACGAGATCTCTCCAAATGGAGCAAAAGCAGCTTGCAGCTGATGTGTCTGGACATCGTGGCTGAGATCACCAACAAATACATGGTAATGTTCTGAAAATCAGAATGAAAACTTTGAATATAAAATGAGAAAATAAAGTGGAGTAGGTCACAACAACAACAATCATGAAATGTGTTCAAATGATTGATATCAAAAGTAAATAAATTTCTGTACTATAACAATTGTTTAATTATTTTGATTTTAATAACAAATTATATAAACAAATTTTGAAAATGTGGAAATTATGAGCCTGCAAATGACAATTCACTGACAAGAATATTCTAACTTTTCTGCCTTGGCTGAAAGTCCCAGGAAGTTACTAAAAGCAATGATAAATTTTTAATGATTTATTAGCAAACTAAAATGATATCTTGTTTGGAAGTCACAGTTGCCTAGCTATTTCCCACCACAGACACAGTCCAATCAATAAAATAGAAACCCTGTTTTCTGCCTGTAATAAAATTAATTGCAGCAACATTACAGGAAAGCTTTGCCACATCTCACTCTGGCCTTGTGTTTCTGACTTACTAATATTCAAAGACATCTAGGGAAAACTTTCCAATTTGCTCTATTTACAAACACCCAGGGATTGCAGTTGATGGGTGTGTGTGTGTGTGCACTTATCTGGCACTAAACAAAACAGAGAGAGAGAGAGAAAGAGTGAGAGCTGCTATGAGTGGAAGTCAACTAAAAGCAATGGCCTGATCCTTAATAGCTCGGAAGTTATTGATGTAATGTTCCCCATAAAAAGTGCTTGTCTCTCTGATACAGGTATGCATTAGTGAAAATTGCTCTTTTTATTGGACCAGTACTCTCTGCCATTCCCGTGGGATGTGTGAAATGTTGATTAAAAGCAATTTTGTCGATTCAATCATATTTCTTCTTCTGACACCAGGCTATACAGTGACCGAAACAATTCTTTCAGGTCTGCTATGGGGATGACCCACACTGAAACAGGGGGATTAATTTCATATCTTCTGCTAACAGGCAAGATTTTTTTCAGTCTAAAAACCAATTTTCAAAAGGCAACTGATACAACCAACATTTATCTCATTTCTAAACATTATTGTGTGTCACTGACAGCATTACTAAGTAACTTTGTTCTTTTCTTAGATGTCCTTCTTCCAATTATTAGGAGCTGCTGCAAATTAAACTCTTACTTTCTAATTAAGTAAACAAGATCTTCTCCCAAGACTAGAAGGATAACAAAGGGACGTATTGCCTTCAGAACTGATACCGCGACCTTGTTGGCAATTATAAAGTTAACATAAAGAACCAGCATCTGCATTGAACTGCTGGAAGTTTGATAGGCCTAACAACAAGCTAAGTGGTAAGTATGAATAATTAATCCCTCTCTTCAAGAAAATCAACATAATCTGCCAGAGCAGGCTACTAAATTGATAGAATCAACCAGGCTGAACTAATGATGGCTGATTGATCAAATTTGCCTCTCAGTGTTTGCAAATTGTATCAAAACAGCTGCTGTGCTTATGTTTGGTTTTGTGTTTGTTCTTCCTGATACAACTCACTCATTAGGAAGGGTAAGAAAAGGCATTAAAAATATGGATCAGAGAGACTTGTTAATAACTTCAGCAATGGGCTGTCTATTCCACCACCCTGTCCCTACCTGTATTTAAAATAACACCGAATATGTCGCAACAGACTGGTGTAAATAGCTATCAATTTGTATTTAAAGGATTGCGCATTACTTTTTTTTCATAGCTGTAGGATAATTTGATTGATTAATCTCATATAATCTGCTAACACTACAAATCATTGGGTCACACCAACCCTGATCATTCTGTAGGTCTCCTCTCCTACCTATAACTGTTAATACTAAACCATGCCACTTATTGTGGCGGTAGATTATCACCAGAATTGGATGAAAACTGTCCATTATCCCCAATAGTCTCCAGGAGAACTGGAAACAGATCATTCTTCAATGCAGTATTGATCAACAGTATAAAACATGTGAAAAGAATAAACGCTGGGAGAGCCACGAGAACGGTACTCGGGTAAACGCACACAAAGGTTAATGCAGTCGGGTGTATCCATTTTCCTATAAAATGATGAACACACAGATTATCATTGTTATCAATCTTGCAAAGTCCCATCATTTAGTCAGGCTGGCATCAATTATGTATTGGATTATAAGGAGAATGACACAGCATAGAAAAATGATGGGGAACTGATCTTTCCAGAAGAGTGAACTCTTACTTATTAACAAGGTGCACTATCCCCAGTTAACCTTGTCACATTTACGTGACAATCTCACTTTGACACTTTTCTCTGGAAAAAGTTCCAAGTCCTGTGTCAACTCTGTCCTGTTAAGTATGTTTTTTTTCATGTTACTATCACCAGCATTTACCCAATGCTGACCAGTCAAACTCTGCCTTCAGACAAGTATTCTTTTAGGGGTCTTAAAAGTAAATTGACTGTTTTAAGGGTGATTATGATTAATATACGTTGGCCATTTAACCAGGACGTTGCATAGATGCTTCATAATAATTCTGTATTGTTCTAATTTTAGTAATGTCCCACCGTAGGTAATTGCAAGATAACAGGTTTGACATTAGTTTTAAAATCTTGAATCATTTCATTTGCCTCATGAAAATCCCAAGATAATTGGTTTGACATTAAAATTAAAATCTTGAATTATATAATGTGTTTCGTGAAACAGTTAAGAAAGTTGAAAAAAGTTTAATGCTCAGACACCCAGGACATACAGTTCACAGCTAAATATACTGTCAATATCACGTCAATATACCATTAAGATGTGCCGGAATGATCCATTATTCAACTTTACATTTTGAAAACCTATGTTCAATGTCCATTCATCACTGTATGAGGACCATGGCTTGCCAGGTTATACTGTGTTCAGTCTTTTCTCTAGCCTGAATTGGATCATTTAATAGATAGAACACTTTATAGGACTCTTCCCTTTTGTAACATCATTTATCCTCTGTAAACTTTTTGTCTCTTCCACTTCCTTCAACTTGGAAAGAAATGTGCAATTCCTTCAAAAATTTCTCTTTCATGAGATATGGCAAAACAAAACATTTTATAGAGGTAAAGAATTCACTAAGGGAAGGAAAGATAGTATGAAATTGCACTGATATAAAAGTTGTATAATATTTCTCTTTTGTGTGCCACCTCTACTGGCTGAGAACACTGTGGTAGCTCCATAATGGCCAGCTGATCCCATTTTTCATGGATGGCCCATTTGCTGAAAAAATAATCTATTTTCCAGGAAAAAACCTCCAAATGACATCAGAGGAGATAAAGGGCCGATGAGTATTTTACGATTTTCTTCTGGTGACAACTGTATCTTTTAACATTATGGCAAATTAACCCTAACATGCCATCATATATTTCATTGTCAGGTCATGGTGCTATGGCTGAGAGAAGCAGATATTGCCTTCACAAAGGATCGATAGAGCACGGAGATATTTTTGAAGATCAGATCCAGATCATTTGACAGACAATTTTCTAACACCATGTCATTCTGGCAAAGCTGCTGTCGAGTTCCCCCTCCCTCTTAATCAAGGGGGGTGGGGGGGTGGGGGGGGCAGGAGACAGGTGTGTATAGGTCTGCCAGAATATCTGACTTTGGAAGGGGAGGGAGAATTCCCCTTTCTGGATTGTATCATATAAATGGCAGACTGTATCACTGGGGAAAACAAAACGGCCATAATGAACCACAACTGCCAAAATACAATGAAAAGCATCCAGGAATATGCCAGCAGGGAATTATACTGTACAACTATTTATTCCAAATCACACAAAATCAACTTAAATGCATTTATATCAAATGGGACACTGCGCAAACCAAACTGAACTAAAACGTTCTGCTGAATGGCTTATTGGCTAGCTATCAACTTCTCTACATGGCTGACAAGTTCTAGATCACCTAGAAGTCTGTGAAAAATGTTATTGTCAATGATAACTTACAAACTTATCAATTCAATGTTCAATAAGTAAGGCCATTTACAAGCGAGGAGAGAATGGATCACCACCCATTTTGAACCAGTCATCTCTCTGGGAAAGAAAAAAGTTTCCTCAACGTTGCAGACTGAAATTTGATTTCATAAAAATTGGGGGGAAAAGGACCCTAATAAAACTTCACATATAGTGATGCAGGATTCCAAAATATCTACTGAGTCCTGCATCACAATATCACATACCAAGGTATTCATAAAGATTTCCTTCCATTTACATAGCTTTTTTTTTTCAGAAAAAAAAAGCCTAAATCTTTTTCAGATAAAATTCATAATGAGACCATTCCCAAAAGAACAGTTTGACAGATAAGCCACAAGCCAGAGCAGAAAACAATGATCACACTTACAGTTTCAAGTACCTTGCAACTGCAACTAGAAAAGCACTGCGAAGACCTTCACCACGGTATCTCAATTCTCATTGTTTGAATTAAACGCTACCAAAACCTAACCGATTCCATGTTGGCCTTTTACTGACATATCCTTAAAATCTAATTAATATCTAACTTTTGAGCCAGGCTGTTATTTAATAAACCAACAAAAGCAAACACAACCTCTTTGGCAGTGATGATAATAAAAAGGACAGAAGTTGTTACTTTTTATGTAGTAGTCCATACTTACTACTTGTGTCTTGTTTTGGTGCATTGCTAGGGGATGTGGCCCAGTTCACTTTTAATTCCTGGAAAAACAAAGAACGGCTACATCAAACAATGCATATATCACTTCAACTGTGGTAGAAATAATTACAAAAGTCTATGCAATGTTCTGTTGCTTAAAATCATGCAAAGCTTTTTTTTTTTCACTGATAATGTTTTTCAATGTTACATGTGTGTAGTTATGTCAATGTGAATATTTTGTCATAGCATGTACTTTTATGTGCATATGGTTCAAAGATGACACCTGGACAACACAAAACAATGTTGAAATATTGTATCAATTTTATTCAAATAACAATCATCTTATATTGTCATCAATGCTCACAGCAAAACACGGCACATTAACCTCAGAACCATTAAAAAACCTATACTGAAAATCTGAATATCTTTCTGCTTTCTTCCAGAATGGTCTCATCCATCCATATCAATATCAAATCCCTTTTCACAGTAGATTTCATGGAGGTTTCTGGCAGTCCACGCGGATTGAATCAATACATATGCATATTTGACAAGAAATAATAAAATAAAATTGACTAAGCCCCCATGCAATCTTAAATATGTTTTATGTCAAATCCTTACCATGAAACTCATTCTTCTTTTTACAAAAAAATAAATCAACTTTTCCAGCTGCTGGACCCGGTCCTGCTTCCTGAAGATAAGTCTATTACCATTCAAGTTGCTTTGCTGTCAGAAAAATACTAGATCTCTAGTGACTCCTTCCACCAAAATCAATTTTAGAGAGATCTTCCTAAAAGCAGGCTATCATCCAATAAATGCACTTTTTTCCCATAGACAATACTAATGTTTCTCACATGTATGAAATTCTATCATCCATGGTCTATATTAGACCCGTTTAGAGGCTTGATCTAACCAAAAAGAAAAGTTTGCCAATTTTGTGTGTATTACTTTGAAAGTTATAGAGCATGTGAGGACAGCCAAGTCCTACCAACAGGTGTCTGTGGTCACAAAGATAGGGTGCTATTACCACTACCTAATCTGGGACACCAATGCCACCATGTCAAAATGTATGATAAATAACCCACCGAGAAGCAACTGGGAATTTTCAAACATATTCCAATCATGATTAATAGGAAAACTCTTTCTTGCCTAAATGAAGAAGGAAAAAGATACTTAATCAATTGTTCAGAAATTACAGTTGCAGGGTTGATTGCTATCAGAACTTACAGAACTTGTAAAATAATATCCAAAATGATAATAATAGAATGGTTGGAACAAGGAGAAGCACCAATATTTGATTTATTTTGAGTAACTTTGCAGATACTGTCTAACTCTGGTCCTTGGAGATGGCCAAATAGAAAAGATAAGCATTCCTTGTGTGTTCATTGCAGCAGATCTTCCCTTAAGAAAACCTATGTGGTGCAAAAATCAATAAAGGCTCTACACTCAATCAAGCAATAATAATGCCATTTGTGTAGAGTTATTAATCAATAATTAGTCAAGTAATTTGTTCTACCATGATAAGAGGTCGTAAAAAATGACCTGCCCAACAGCACAGCCCCCAGCAAAGAGGGGCAGCAATTCAAATCAAGTTTACAAGAATTGGCCTAATCTGCCGCGTCACATCACAAGCCCATCTGAAGATAACTTCTGTTATCAAAGTTGGCTGATTACACTGGAGTTATAGGGTACAAACAGCTGAGTGTAAATTATAAATGAGATGGCAAAAATATGCCATACAAGACCTATCTTCAGGAAATGAAAAAAAAAAGAAAAAAAAAAAAAAGAATGTGCCTGTAGAACAGAAAATAAGTGCTAATTAAGTATTCCAATGTCCCTGGAAGGATATCAATTAAGCCAGCAACAATTACACTTTGGGGAAATTGAGAATATGCTGCAAGTGCCATTAGTTACAAGCGCTGAAGCAGAGAATTTTGAGGCGGTTGTTTTGCAGTTAACACCTACCCATCTTGCCAAAACACTGGCTTCAGTATGTTTCAATGCTTTTGCTGTGTGGACTCAAAACAAGTTTTAGTAGTAACAATTTCTTATTAGCAATAAAAAATTCAATGAGGTTTTTAATGAGGATAAGAGTCAGATCCTTTGTCTTGTACATCCTCATTATCATCATGTGTCCTGCTTCACAGTAATGACCAATCCCCTCCACACCTTTGTCTTTGGCAGCTCTCAGCATGGATATAGAACATGAAGCAAGTTTTTACATACAAAACTTATTCTTTGACATGATGGCAGTTGCAAAATATGGCCCTATAATATCTCTTAACCATATTATTCAAGTATAGTACAAAACAGAAAGGGAAAAAAACAATATAAAGAAGAATGGCTCTGTGGAATTTGAACATGATTCACTTTCAGGACAACTCTAAAATTAAGATGAACTCTTTGTCCATGAATACATGGCCACAAACAATTTAGAACATAGTGATTTTTAATGTGCCACAGATCACTAATATAAAAGCCCCAAAATGGCTAATGAATACAAGTCTTTGTCCACATGGACACCTGTCGTTTTAAAAAGTACCACAATGTTAGAGGCACAGATGAGGAAAATCTGACAACCGAGTTTATTTCTCATTTGCCATGAATCTGAATCTGTCATGTACCCCCCCCCCACCCCCACCCCACCCATATTTTGAACCCCAGTTCATCAGAAATCTTACTAACTAGAACAAATCTTTTCAAGAGTGTTGGTCCCTCTTCCTTTGCCTGAGATAGTTCATACAACCTCAATCTGAAGTTGCCAGGGAATACTTTCAACAAAAAACTGTTTATCTTATTATTTGATAAACATAAATCTACAGTAAAACTTATGCAAAAGAAGGTTTCGATAAATATCATACAATAACATCCACAAGTAATAAAAGCATGCTTTATTCATTCCATAAGTCTAATGCATATTACATTCAAAATCTAGCATTCACTTTCCCTGGTCAAACAGTAGCTTCATCGTTGTAGAACAAATATATCACTATTTTACTAAATTAAGTGAAAAATATATCTTCATTAGAAAAAATATACATGAACTCCGATTAAAACACATAGGCTAACAAATAACCTGAGGAAAAAACCTGAGACAAAAGACAAATGCAATGATATAAAGTCAAAATTGATTAAAAAAAAGACAAAACAAAATCAAAGGTGTTGTGGCACCTACCTGTGGCGACAGTATACTGTCCACGGATGGTACGAGGGTCAGTGGAAGTAATGGCGGTGCGGTGTAAGTGACACCTAGAGGTTGGGTCATTACGAACAGTCCAGGTGGTGGTGGTGAGGCGAGAGCATATGGCTGTGAGCGGGAAACAAGGCTGGTTAGATACTCAAGTCATCAACCGAGGCTGCTTTATTACAGCAGATCAAATCATCACACACACACACCACTCAATGCTGTCATCATACACAGTTTATAGACATACTTTGAGACAAGCTTAGTGCAAAGAGATATGGGAAGTCAGCCAGATAGAAAGAAAAAAAGCAGTCCCAAAAGAGATAAAATACATTGAGTTAAGTTAATATGGAAACCATGCTCATGCTAGGGAAGAACAATTTCATGCCATACTTCATCCACACGTGTGACACCTAGTGATGAGGCTGTGGTACACTTCTACAACATATGGCCTCTGTCCCATAGAGCCCTTTATTGACCAACTGAATCAAGTCAACTAGTACACTTAGCACATCAAATAACTCCCAGACAATAATCGCATCCACTTAGAGAATTATCTAGCAATTTCCACATCGTCATCGAGAAGTCAGATGACTTAATATGCACAGAAGCTGAATTCAATAGAAAGCAGAAAACCATTACCACTGCTGATAGTAGTCTATGTATGGGAAGTCAGAAAGCCAATTCTACAATAAACTTCAGTATCGCTTTTCACTTCATGACAGTAGGGGAGACGTGTTCTTATCTGATGAACAGACAACTCGGGCTTTGCTGTCATTGCAAGTGCTAATCAGCAAGACAAAGACAGTTCAATAACCATACCATCCATTTCTTTAAATTTCTGAGATATGTTAACTTAATCTAAGCCTCCTCTTTAAATGCATCTCCTCTTCAAATGGACCCTTTCATCATCGTTAGCAAGTATGTACATCAAGATTATCAGATCCCTACAAGTTTAATTTCATTTTCTTATCCGTCTTAAATAGTCTCCTTTATCAAGCTATTTGAAGGAACTAAGCAATAGGCTGCACAAAGTTACTCCAATTCCATGGATCTCTGGAGACTTGCGGCTGCATAGCCTCTTTTCTAATATATCATTATTAATGCAGGCACATGGGACATTGGACTCCATTATCTCCCAAGATGGAACATCTGAATCAATATGCTGATTTTTATTAATCACTCGTTCCTTCACTTGCTTAGCTTTACACACACATTGCCTAGAACAAGTTGAAGCTGTGTAGCACCAACACCATCAGAAACGGTGATCAGATCAATAAGTGAGACAACTCATTTGTTTACTGAATAGCATGAAATAGGATAGAAATCGGAAGCTTGACATTTTGTTGCAACATTTTATTGTTCATACCTCATTGCCTGTGAGATAAATGCAGATCAAAGCTGCAAATAAAGCTAAAATGAAACTTCTCTAACTAGGAAACAACTCATCCTTGCTCAAACACCTTGAATAGCGCAGTGGCCAGGGCTTTCTTGGATTCAATGCAAAAGCTAATATTTACTGTGGATCTGTGCATCTAAGTTGTGTTTGCAGACTTTGCAGCTTTGTCAAACAAAAACTGCAGTACAAGTTGTTGGTTTAGTGTTTTCTGTATTCAAATTTCACTGATGTGACGGCATGATTGGTTTCTGATACACTCTAGAAAGCAACAGACAGACAGATACACCGATTACGATAACGTAAGAAGTCAATTTCCAGTTCACCAGTTCATGATTCCACCATGATGATCTAATTTCAGGATGTGTAAAAAGAAAGTTCCATTAGTCAGCAGCACATTAGATATTATTACAATATTGTTTCACATTTTCAACTTGCACCAACACCTGCTCCGTGGTTTTCTAACAAAACACAACACCAGCCACGAGGCGACTTAAACAAATAAGACTGTGACCCATCGAGACCTTTTTCTAATTCATGCACATACATATAAGCAAGTTATCATATCTGTCAATATTGCAATTGACAAATGGTTTTCAAATCAGCCCATTAATCGAGAAATAATTTGTATAAATGCTTTTAGACAATTGTTAACAATTAGATATGAAATGTCAATCAAACGATGAATAAAATGATATTTTATGCTAGAATGCCAATATCCCAAGGCTGGTGAACAGAGAGGGATCAACATGTGTGGAACAAGGAACAAAAGGACAGCAATTGGAAATCAATACAATAAACGGCTTGGATGTGTTATTTCTCCAGAGCTTTTACTCTCTTGTCCACAGTATGGTCAGTAAAAATTGAATATCCCAGCCTCCTACTTTTTTTAATGTGTTTAGGTAGACTCTCACAGGAGGACAGGGGTATCTGATGGTGAAAAAAGACATGAGGAAACAATCAATTCTGCATTTGTTATCTAACAAACCCATTTTGCAGTCCTTAATAAGAATGATATGAAAAGAACTTGTTATGGCTAATTAAGCGTTCTCATTTGCCACCTATACTAGGCCTACCTGTTCTTAAACCTCGGTAATAACAGCCAGAGCTTTGGTGACAAAAAATGTCACTTACTTCCACTTGTGCCTCAATAACAAAACAAGTGAAAATTAAGCAAGGAATGCTACCACTTGAGCTACTTAAGCAGGTGAGAAGATTGACAGTTTCTATCTACACAATATTACCAGTCAGTCTTACACACAGAGCATGCATCCATTCACCAATCCTATATGACATATTCCAATTCTCGATAAGTTTTCAAATCAATTAAACAAAACAGCTAATTTTTTTAAAATTAATAATCGCCGAAATGAAAGAATTCCTCATATAAACAGACTTATTTTAATAGAAATGAACCAAGTGATTTTACTCACAAACGGACTCTGTACAGTCGTTTCTGTCAGCATGGCTTCTGAATAGTTCTAACACAGGGGACTACCTGGTTGTATGTAAGCGGCAATGGCTGAGATCTACCACTGCAGTCTTGCACAGCTTTGTCCACTCAGCCTGTTACTGAATAAGGTACTCCACACTTCCCTGTTATCCAACTCTAGCAGATTACCATTATGAATAATTTACGAAGCTTTTCGACAAATGTGCCCTGAAGTCATTGAATGTACTTCTGTCAACTGGGCTCCGCCAATCTGATTGGTTATTGCAGTTCCCATCATGTAATTACCTCTCGAGACAAGTAAAACACACAAAGGGAAATTATGATAGTAATAATTTCTAATGGTAGTTTCTCATTGTACACAATACACGGTGGGCCACCTATATACCTGAGCTTACATCTAAGGGGATTATCAATATGATAACAAACATGTTTAGCAGATCAAAAATAACGTTGCTATTATGGCTGTGCAGAAGTAAGACGTATGAATGAACGCGTGAATGCTACAATTGGATAATGGACTTCAATTGTATTGTCCTAAGGAAGTATCCTTTGGCCTATTGTCTGTCACCTGTACACTTTACCAGAACAAAGAACCAAGTTGTTATTGAAATCCACACTGCAACTGAATTAATAACAGTACATAACACCCACAGCGCCTGGTGACTTCCAGGGAGTGAGGGGATGTGCACTGTCACTAAGAATATTAAGCCATATTTAATTTTCTTTTAATTTTTTTATCCAGTTCATAAACATTTACAGGGAAGAGTAGTCATCACCTCAGTAAACACTTCACCGAGTTTCACCCTTCATGTCCATCTCATCTCTGCTATTAGCCTAGCACTCTATACAATACTGGCTATACAAAGACCACCACAATTACTGTCCCTTGTGAACCCAAATGAAACAAACAGTGCCAAGTACTAGAAAAGTTCCATTTCAGTTGGGGAAACACTGCTGGCCAAAAAATTGATTGATCTTGCACTATCTCGTTTAGTTATCCATCTACCTTGGATCTTTCTTTCCTTCCCTAGCGCACATCAGTCAAACGTCAGCTTATCTACATTTCTGACATCATTTGCATATGGTAAGGAAGATTCAAGAATGAAAAGACTTGTACAGAAAATAATTAAGAGACAGCAAATAATTTAGAGGCAAGAATGACATCGGGTCAAAAATAATATATCAGAAGTTATTTCACCAAGCAAGAAAAAAGTGTAGCCACCCTTGCTTTGATTATCTTGACAAACTCTATTAAAGATGCCTCTCAGACCATCAGCTGCTATAAAATTTTAATTGTGTAGCATAAGCAAAATGTAATTTAAGTTGGTTTTATCAAAACAGATGATGAAATATATATTTTGCTGAAATGGAAGGATTATAGGACATGAAGCAGCTTTTGTAGTAGTGAGGGATGAGGAAATTAAATAATATTTCAGAAATCATATAAACAGGATACACTGGGAATGATTCTGGTGAAGTAGGTCACATTAAAAATGGACATAGTTTCATAAAAGTGGTAATAAACACTCTACGAACATAAAATTTTGTCAAATCACAATTTCAAAGCATAGCCAGGGCAACCCGTCCTGGGTAATACAGAAGATAGCCTCCTGATAATGGTGCTGGGACCAGTGCTGACCAACACATCATATCATCTGAACCAAGTTGTCCAAAAAAGTATCATAACCATGCCGACTAAAAGCAAACAAAGTCTTTCTGAATATTTAACCTTCAATCATCTGTCAGACTATATCAATATGGTATTCTGTGAAAACAAACNATTTTTTTTTTAATTAATAATCGCTGAAATGAAAGAATTCCTCATATAAACAGACTTATTTTAATAGAAATGAACCAAGTGATTTTACTCACAAACGGACTCTGTACAGTCGTTTCTGTCAGCATGGCTTCTGAATAGTTCTAACACAGGGGACTACCTGGTTGTATGTAAGCGGCAATGGCTGAGATCTACCACTGCAGTCTTGCACAGCTTTGTCCACTCAGCCTGTTACTGAATAAGGTACTCCACACTTCCCTGTTATCCAACTCTAGCAGATTACCATTATGAATAATTTACGAAGCTTTTCGACAAATGTGCCCTGAAGTCATTGAATGTACTTCTGTCAACTGGGCTCCGCCAATCTGATTGGTTATTGCAGTTCCCATCATGTAATTACCTCTCGAGACAAGAAAAACACACAAAGGGAAATTATGATAGTAATAATTTCTAATGGTAGTTTCTCATTGTACACAATACACGGTGGGCCACCTATATACCTGAGCTTACATCTAAGGGGATTATCAATATGATAACAAACATGTTTAGCAGATCAAAAATAATGTTGCTATTATGGCTGTGCAGAAGTAAGGCGTATGAATGAACGCGTGAATGCTACAATTGGATAATGGACTTCAATTGTATTGTCCTAAGGAAGTATCCTTTGGCCTATTGTCTGTCACCTGTACACTTTACCAGAACAAAGAACCAAGTTGTTATTGAAATCCACACTGCAACTGAATTAATAACAGTACATAACACCCACAGCGCCTGGTGACTTCCAGGGAGTGAGGGGATGTGTACTGTCACTAGGAATGTTACACCATATTTAATTTTCTTTTAATTTTTTTATCCAGTTCATAAACATTTACAGAGAAGAGTAGTCATCACCTCAGTAAACACTTCACTGGGTTTCACCCTTCATGTCCATCTCATCTCTGCTATTAGCCTAGCACTCTACACAATACTGGTCATACCGAGACCACCACAATTACTGTCCCTTGTGAACCCAAATGAAACAAACAGTGCCAAGTACTAGAAAAGTTCCATTTCAGTTGGGGAAACACTGCTGGCCAAAAAATTGATTGATCTTGCACTATCTCGTTTAGTTATCCATCTACCTTGGATCTTTCTTTCCTTCCCTAGCGCACATCAGTCAAACGTCAGCTTATCTATGTTTCTGACATCATTTGCATATGGTAAGGAAGTTTCAAGAATGAGAAGGCTTGTACAGAAAATAATTAAGAGACAGCAAATAATTTAGAGGCAAGAATGACATCAGGTCAAAAATAATATATAAAAAGTTATTTCACCAAGCAAGAAAAAAGTGTAGCCACCCTTGCTTTGATTATCTTGACACACTCTATTAAAGATGCTTCTCAAGCCATCAGCTGCTATTAAATTTTAATCGTGTAGCATAAGCAAAATGTAATTTAAGTTGGTTTTATCAAAACAGATGATGAAATATATATCTTGCTGAAATGGAAGGATTATAGGACATGAAGCAGCTTTTGTACAATGTAGTGAGAGATGAGGAAATTAAATAATATTTCAGAAATCATATAAACAGGATACATTAGGAATGATTCTGATGAAGTAGGTCATATTAAAAATGGACTTAGTTTCATAAAAGTGGTAATAAACACTCTATGAACATAAAATTTTGTCAAATCACAATTTCAAAGCATAGCCAGGGCAACCCGTCCCGGGTAATACAGATATAGCCCCCTGATAATGGTGCTGGGACCAGTGCTGACCAACACATCATATCATCTGAACCAAGTTGTTCAAAAAAGTATCATAACCATGCCGACTAAAAGCAAACAAAGTCTTTCTGAATATTTAACCTTCAATCATCTGTCAGACTATATCAATATGGTATTCTGTGAAAACAAACTCAAACTGAATGTTTTCTCTTTAGTTATTTATAAAACAAATTAATAGAGTATTGTATAAGCAACCTTTGTTACAACCGGACATGTTGGGAAGTTGTTCAAATGTTGTGGTGTCACATGCAGTAGATACCATTTTGCTGCTTTCACCAAGGTGGACACAAGGTTCAGTAGCCTTGGTTTTCACAACTACAGTCCATTCTCAGTCCAAATTTCTCCACAGAAGGATTTTGATCAATCTATTGGTACATTCCTCTGATGTCCAATGCCAAGCTTTCATTCAACTTAATGTATCCAAATGCATTTTAGCCTTACAGATCATAGTTTAAAATTTTAGTCATGTCCCCTACACTTCATAAGCATCTGCCAACACACTTATTCACATGGTTTCCATTATATAACTAATGAAGTTTAAACATCAGTCATTTATTGGTTTGCAATCACAAAACTCACTTTATTCTAATTTAAAAAAGGAAAAAGATGTCCTAAATACCTTAAATGTTTTCACCAGGAGGAAAACCATCCACATTCATATCCCTCAAACCGCCAATTAATGCCGTCTTTCTTTTAAATTTGATTAACTTATCTTGTCTGGATGAATGTATCAAGTTGGTCTTCTCTAATTTGGTGTAACCTCACTATCTCCACAAAAATTTTCCAATCCTTCTGGTAACATGTGAACTCTTTTTATTTGACATCCAATTAAGTTTGGACAGAAAAACTAGCTAACCATGAAGATAGGACATGTCAGGACACAACTCAGGCAAAAAAGGGGCATCTCACTCCACAGCAAAGACACACATGCAAGCAAGCCAGCATTACTCTTGTACATCCCCAAGTTCAGTTAACACCACTGGTTACAAAGAAATCCATTAAAAAGATCCAACTCATTAGTTTAATTGAGTCAATACGCTACTTAAACAAAATGTTACCCAAACCAAGCAGAAAAAGTATTTAAGCTTGAAAACAGATTCGAAGGTAAAACATGCATGGATGGAGATACAGAACAAAGCAATGGTGTACAAATGTCAGAAGAGAAATACCTGTGAATTAATCACAGGTCAAGGGATTTAATCAATTTCCAAGGAAATAACACTAACAATAAAAAAATTAATAAAAGGTTTAAAGAGAAAATAATATTGCGATACTTTCACATATAAGAAACTCGAGATAATTCTACCTACCTCCACTTGCTTTTGTGGCAGATTCACTTGTTGAGTCATCATAATTACAAAATGTGTTTAGACAACAATAACAGCAGCAGCAGTATCAATGTTTCTTAAATAGTTGAAGTAGTATTCAGCTGATCACACAAGAAAACCATCAATATAAAACCAGCATATAAAAAAGCACTTGTCCTCATTGGCACATGCAGCTTTTCCTAGTCAATGGACAATGAACTGTCTTTAACATTCACCAGCGTATCGACAGTATACCAGCTTGTTCATTTCAATTGGGAAGCCCTTAATGCCAACAACAACCTGTTCTCATCTCCGAGGCCGGTCTGCAAGCCTGCTGCCACTTACAAAAATGCTGGGCAAATCAATATTTAGTATGTTGCATTTTCACCTATTCGCAGACTTGCTATTGTTGTCAATACCATGAAGATGATGAGGGTAGGATGCGCACACATATATATTGCTGAAAACCATGATGGTATATTGCCCTACTATCAGCCAATTAATATTAATATATACCATTCGTCAGTTTGAAACTGATGAAGGCACGGTTGAGAAGAGTTGCATGGCTGCTTTGCAGGTATGAAGACTGAAGCAAGTATCATTTCTTTAATAGTTTTCAGTGAAGAGGAGCTTTTTTTTTTTTTTGCATCAAATGATTTTCTCAGCACTCTGCCTCTAAAACTGTGCTCCTGTAGAAATAGAGAAATGTCAACAGTTACAATGTGGTGGGCAAAAGAAGGAACTCCAAATCAAAATGCCATTTTTCTTTTAAATATATAATGGTCATTTATAAACACACACATACGCTGTATTATTGCTAATGCACCTTACATTATATCTTTTGTTCTTGTCAATTTTTGATGACAGACAGAGCAGACTAACTGAATGTTTATCTACCTGCAAATCAAATTAACATTTTTGAAAGTTTTCAATTGACCATCTTGAACAATCTACTTCAAACTTTTAAGTCCGCTTCTATTATGTTTACCGAGTAGTTCTTTCTTTTCCTGCACATCAAACGTGACTTAAACCTCGTTTAGTGTGTTTCGTCTGCTGCATTTAGAGAAGTAAAATAGAGTTCCTTCTATTTGTTGTTTATAAATACATCTAAGATCCCATTCTGCTGCCTCAATATCAAGTCAATATCCTCTGCAAATTGAAATGTTCTGTTTCTTTCAAATGTTACTCAGTGAAGCATATCCTGGTGTCATAACTGTGTATTTACGCAATTAAAGCGACAAGATACATGATTGAAAGCTGAGCTAAGAGAGCGTGGATTGCATGCTGCATGACAGGTTTTTACACCTATTCCTTCACATACATAGCAGCCCTACACTGCCATTATCCAAATACAAGCTTCAAACAGGAAGACATCAGTCAACTATCAAGTAACACGCACAAAAAATATGATAAATAATAATAAAAATAAACAAATAAAA